TGTTCTGAGCTGAAACTCTAAACTCATGATTATTGAGACCAAGTTTTAATTTCCATTGATTTTTTGATACAGCTAAAGAAAACCCAAACAGTTATAGTCTAACCAGGCTTTTAAATATGCTCATGCACTGGTGTGTAGTGGCTCACACTTTGTCCTTCCACTCAACTTTCTGTATAAAACTGACTGTGAGCAGCAGGACATTTTGATTGGTCTGATGGAAAACTTTATAAAATCCAAACTCTGAAGAAAAAAAACATCTCGAAATCTGAAACTGTGGACTTGAATCAGTGAATTAATCATCAACTTTGAGATGATGATGTATTTCTGAGTCTGAATTTCTGGATTTATATGTGCGGCGGCCATCTTGGATTTTATATTTTAGGGTTGAAACTTCTGATTGGACTCCAGACATCCCAACTGCAGGAGTTGAAGTTCATCACTTTGATTTGTTACATAATATATTTGGTATCAATTTAGAGCAAAGTGAAGTTATTTTCAAAACTTTGATTTGGATTTGATCGGGTTTGATTATCTTCCAAACTAATTGATGGGTGATCGGAGCGAAGCGGCTGCTGTTGCTCCGTCTCTCCGTCCTTCACACACCTGCTCATTTAAAATAGATGATTCAGCTGAAAACAGATCAATTGAAGGTGTCCGGTTCCAGGAGTGGCCCTTCATCTGAAAGGTGAGTCCACTGAGCCACACCCTGACGAGAGTTTACAAACTAGCCATTAGATGCTAATGGTACCGTGCAGCTGATAAACACCAGGTTGCATAACTGCGCTGCTGTCAGCCTGGATTATCGTTGTTTTTCTGCTCTTCTGAAAGAGTTTCTTTCTTTAAACAAAGCTGGTGTCTGACAGACAAACTGCATCGTCTCTAATGAGTCCGATAATTAACGAGGCTCCCAGGAGGACATCAGAAGGCGAACAGTCGGTCCCGGGTCACATGGTTCTGAGGAAAATGCTGCTGGAAGGTTAAACTGGGGTCAGGTTCGTTTTCACAGTCTAGTTGTTTAAAAAGCTGAAAGTTTTTGGGACCAACTGGAACCAGCAGGACAAAGTTTGAATTCGTTTGCCGAAAATAAATTTTTAAAGCCACAATATGAAAAATATGAATTACCAGAATAACATTGTAGTAACAAAAGAATAAAGTTCTGCAGTGCAACTTTATTTTCGTATTATTACAGTTATATTCTCGTATTGTTAAGATTTTATTCTTTGATTATTATGAGTTTAATCTTGTATTACTGAAAATTTATTCTCATATCGTTACAACTTTATGGTAGTGTTATTATAACTTACTGTATTATTGCTACATTATTCTCATATTATTGTTACTTTATTATCTTATTATTATGACTTTATTGAAGCATTTTTATGACTACGTTGTTATATTACATATATATTTTTATTACAATTTTATTCACATATTATTCTAATTTATTCAACTATTGAAACTTTAAGCTGGTGTCATGACTTTATTCTTTTACTATGAATTTTTTTAGTAATTTTACCCCTTACTGCCCTAAAACTCTATTGTAGTTTTAGTTTCCAGTAGCTTTTCTTGGTGAACAAACCTGATCCAGTCAGAGTCCAACATGTCCGGTCTCAGGTTCCCCCTGCAATAAAGTTCTTATCATCCTGATGCAGGAAACAAAATAAACTGTTTCCCTCATAATGACCTGATGGAGTGGAGCTGATTAAAACCAATCCTGACTCCCAGTCTCTTCAATTAATTTCATTTTTCTTTGCTTGGATTGTCATCAACATCTTGTGTGAATTTTATGTAAATTGAAAGATATTTATTGAAGAAAAATCTGTTCAAATCTGATTTTATTGGCTGAACAAAAGGAGAAAAACTGAAAACATAAACATAATATTCTCCTCCAGGCCAGTTTCCTGCTTTCTGTTTAAAAATATCCGGACTTTTAATTACGTGTCTGTTTGTTGTTGATGGCTATCTGTTGTTTCCGCTGAGCCTGGAGCTTCGCTGCTGTCGAGGCCAATTAAAGGTTCTGTTTACAAAAGTCTTTAAAAAATAAATTTCTGAAAGTATTTGCTAAATGCTGGCAGGTTGTTGTGGATTCAAACCTGTAAACAAAACAAAGACGTCAAGATGATGGAGGCCTGCGAAACGTCTGGACTGAGGAAAACTGACGAGTTTTCACTGAAACAAACAAATAAAATCAACAACTGTTTCCTATTCTAGCTTGAGCTAACACTTTTAGCACTAGTTAAGCTAGCGCAAACACCATTAGCAGGATCCAATAACACAAACAGGAGCTAAAATATTATCAAACATTAACACCTTTGTTAACAGGATCTAACACATTGGCTAAAGCTAACAACATTGGCTAAAGCTAACACTATTAGTAGGACATAATACCATTCAGCCTACTAATGGTATTAGCAGGATCGATGCTAATACCATTTGTTCTAACTGCTAGTTAGTGAGTTCGCACTAATAGTGATAACTGACACCAACACCATTATTAAGTTAGTCAGCTAGTTAGCACTGACTAATGGAGCTAACAGTATTAGTTAGTTCTAACTAATGTTTAGCGATAACTTTTAGTCAGTGCTACCACCAGAGTTGGTACTGTTAGCAGCATCAAGCTCCATTAGCTCGAGCTAGAACTGAACTAAGACTATTAGCTGGAGAAAACACTTTCTGAGGGCTCTAACACCATTAGCTAAAGCTAGCACAGTTAGCTAGGGAAAGCACCATTAGTTAGCATTAACACCACTACCCAGAGCTAGCGCTGTTAGCAGCATCTAACACGTTTAGCTACTGCTAGCAATCTTAGCAGGAGCTAAAATGAAATCAAAACAATCTGAAAGATAATGAATGGTTGTTTGAAGTGAAAATGAAGTGTCTTAACGTCTTTGTTACGAAACATTTTAATGTATTTGAGAAAATGTTCTGAGCCTGATGCTAACCGTAAAACAGTTTGAGGAAAAAAATAAAATATTTGTGGATTTCAGCTGTTTGTGTGCAGCTGTGAGTAACAAGAGAAAAACAGATTTTTTGGTTGAAACCCAGAAATGAATGTTCCAGGATGTTTTAGCTGGTTTGGTTCTTAACTTACAAAACAACATGTCCAACTGGAGCAGATTGTCTTTCCATTGCTGGAGTTTTCTGACGAATCCAGGTCTCCTGCTCAAGCTTTCATTGTTCTTTAGCTGAGGGCTGAACTGCGGGCCAGGCTTGGCCCCGACTCCAGAACACACTGACAGATTTATTCCCTGTACCTGGGAGATATCGCACATACCTGGCCCACACCTGAGCCTTGATTCATAGCTGCATTTTTCAGATCTGGGCAGGAGATACCGGCGCTTTAAAACCCTGCCGCGTTTTTATTTTTTGAATGTCTACAAGGTGCAGATAAGGTCCAACGTTGATGAATAAATGAGTCATTCTGGTCTGTAAACACGCTGGGAGCACTTTGGGAACGTCTCACCAGCTGCCAGGCATTCTTTGAAGTGCAGGCATTTTTCTGTCCGTCCATGCAGGTTGCATCACCTAGCAGAGCGAGGAGCATTGGGGAACGGGGTTAAAGTTTTGGTTCTTTGTTTTCCCACCAAGCAGATGGATTTACTGAGGAAATAAAAGCAGGAATGGTGCAGAGGCTCGGTGTTTCTGGAGGTTTTTAAAGTTCTTTTCAGGAGGAAAAAATGTTGAATCTGAAAGTTTGGTGACATGAACCCAGTGGTGGTCGATTCCATGACTCAGCGTTTCTACAGCATGGAGGAGGTTAAGGATTCTGGAAAAGACTGGAAAGTAGATTAAAATGTTATCTTTTAACTAAAACATTCATCCAGGCTTTTATATTTCTATAATCTCTGTAATTTTCAGTCCTGATGGAAGTGAACTCCAGATTAAAGTCAAGTTTGTTTCCAGTTAGTTGACCTTTTACCCTGTGAGTCATGTGGCTGGTCTCTCAGTCAACCAGCTGAATCGGTCAGTCAGTCAACCCAACCATGTGATGTGGACTATAACCCAGTGAAATTTACAATACAGCAGGTTTCTGAGCCTCAGGTGATCCTCCCATCGTTTGTTTATGAGCATTTCACATGTTCGCTGGAGAATGTGAGCCGCCGGCTCCGCTCCGCCGCTCGGCCAGAGAGGAGTGGAGCTCATAAATCCCCGCTGGAGGAGAAGACTGTTGGTGCCTGCATGCTTCTGATTTCCTGATTGTGCACAGATGAGCAGCAGTAAGTCAAACGCTGGACACGAAGCTCGTCTGTTTATGGTGTGTTTGTGCGCCGCTGTGTGCGGCGTGTTGGAATCCTTCAAAAGAAACGAGTGAAATTCCTCCGAATTCGGGGGAAAGGCATGCAGAGACTGGTCTGCTCAGGCCGAGTCTGGATGCCAAAGCTTATCAACACAAAGTCGACGCTTCTTCCACGATGTCACGGAGCGATTACCGGCCTCAAATGTTGGGATATTTCACGCTACGTTCAAGAGATTTATGTCCTGAAATGTAATATTTAAAGTGGCGTTGATCTATCGACTGGATAAGTTTCAGTTATTGGTGGTAAATAAAACACACAACTGATGATCACAAATGTTATTTTTGCTATATTTGCTTAAAAAACCTCCTGAATTAAAGTACCAAATCAGGAGGGACGGCCCGTTACCTAGCAACCCACACTGAGCTCCAGCATGTTTGGTCAGCTGGTTTTACTGCTGTATGAGTTTTGTTGGTAACTTATCATCCAGAAACCTCTTGTTTGTGCAGATGGTTCCACTTCTGCTTTTCAAAGATGTGTATTTGTATCACCGTGCATCTGTTTGTGGGATTGTAAATGTTCAGTGGGAGCGTGGAGAGCAGCATCTTCTCTGGATTAACAGCGACAGAATCCCCAAATAGGCAGGACTCACCCGACTAAAATCATAATTTTGTGTAAAAAAACATGTTTTGTGTCGTCCATAAATTCATCCTGACCATAATGGATCCCCTTTAACATCCATCTCTTTCTTCTGTCCCCCAATAGGAAGACAATGAGATCCCTGCCAACGTGGTGGTCTCCCCCAAAACCCCCGTACCGAGCCAGTATGACGCAGAGTCCACCGTCCAGCCGGCTCCGTCTATCACAGGATCTGTGGAAGGCAGCCGCACTCAGGAAGAGATGCTCCAGAAGATCAGTCTGTCCTCAGACGACGACCCTGACCTGGCGTGCGCTGCGTCCCAACGAGACGAGGGCGACTCCCTGGAGTACGACGTCTCCCCCATCAAATTCGAAAGAAGGTCTGACCGGTTCAAACGCTCCAGTCTGAAGAAGGTCGACAGCTTAAAAAAGGCCTTCACTCAAGCCAAGATCGGCGAGAAGGTAAACCAGATCACCTCCAAGATTGTTCCTCCAGAGAAGCGTGAGAAGATCAAGAAGAGCTTCACCCCGAGCCACCCCAAGTCCCCAAGCGCCAAGGCCTCCACCTTCAAGATTTCCCCAATGACTTTCAACGTCAAGAAGGTCAGAGATGGGGATGCTCAGGAAATGAAATCCCCAGAGGAAAAAGCCCATGTGGAAATCCCTGCGCTGAGCGGTCTGGGCGGTAAGATTCCCTCAGGCGAGGTTCACATCCAGGAAGTGGCGATGAAGGAGGTGGAGGAGACCCTGAGTCCGGCGGAGACCATCCAGGCGGAGGTGTCCGTCAACGGGAAGTCCTCCAGCGTTGAGGCGGAGATCAACGGCGAGGGTCTGGCCGGCCTGGCGGTTCCGGAGCACGACGAAGATGTTGGTGAGGAGGACGAGGGGGAGGAAGAGGAGGATGAAGAGAAGCAGAAAAGCCCCGTTGAGGTGGCGGCTGAAGTCCAGATCACCACAGAAACGATCGCCGTGGAGCAAGTGTCTTAATGCCAACCGGCTGAAAGCATCAAGTCCGATTCTTCTTCTATTCGTCTTTGAGTTCCTAGGATTGCAGAAAACCCAAACGTCCCTCCTGGCTGCCGGGTGGCGATGCACCGTAACTCACATCACCAACATCTCCAGGGCGCTGGAGCAACCGGCTTCCTGTTCCTCGCTGAAAAACGGCCTCTTTTGTTCCCTCTGAGTTTTCTGGAAAGTGAAAAAGAAAAACCAAACTTGCTGAGGCAGCGCATTGCCAGGTTGCGCCGGAGCTGGAATGAGTCGGGTTTTTTCCTTTTCTTCCTCTTTGTTGGCTTGTTGAGGTTGTTTACTGGATTTCCAGATCCGACCCAACCGGTGAATCTGGTCGTCCACCGTCTGCTACAACCGAGCAATTATAAATCTGTTTTCCTCTTACTTTCTGATCTCATAACTGATTTAGATCATCATGTTGTTGTGATAGTATCTAAATACTATCACAACAAAAACAACTGTAAATTATTCCTATATCGCAGGGTGTGGGGAAATAAAAACTGTTAAAAAAACATTAAAAATCTATATAAAGGGAGATAATTGCTAACGTTTGGAGGCATTAACCTGGTATTTACTTTGACTGTACACTAAGGTCACAGCTCTATTTGTTTTAGGATTTTAGGGCAGAAAGTAACGAAATTGTTTCTTTACACGTCTCATAAACAGAAAATAACTTCCTTTCACAAAATTATAGAAACTTTTAACTAAATACCTTTTGATAGTTTCATATTACTGGTGGCAATATGTCCACAAAAATATAGATACATTTAACATTTCTTTATATATAAACTGTAAAAAAAATAGCAAAACTTAGTATTAATGTAATGCAAATTAAAACAACTAAAATTATACAAAAGCTTGGTGGCTTAATTAAAGAACAACTATTTTGAAAAATACAAATTTTGCATGTTTTTATTCTTCCATTTGGGTCTAAAACGATCCAACCGCTTACAGAAAACACCCAGAAAACACTCAGAACACTTAGAAAACACTCAGAACACCCAGAAAACAACCTACTGCCAGCTGTTTTCTGGCAGTAAGTTAAGGTTTTTTGATGCCTGTAAAAAGAGTCTCTTCATAAACCTCCCGATTGTTACCTAGCAACCTAGGCTGAGTGCCAGCATATTTGGTCAGCTGATTTTACCGCTGTATGGGCTGTACAATGGCTGCTGGAAGTAACAAGTGTTTGTTGTTGTCTCACCAAACAGAAATCACTTGCTGAATTCCTGTTGGTTGTGTGGGAGGCTCCACTTCTGCTTTTCATAGATGTACAGTAAAATCCCATTACCCAAGAATGATTTTGTGCAAAAACAGTAATGAAAAACAGTAATGAATATGTTTTAGCTCCATCCTAGGAATCATAATAGGTCACTTTTATCAAAATTTTTTTAAACCGCGCAAATTTTTGACCCTGTTGTTTTTCCGTATGTTCGCTACTTGCTGCTGTGGATCACCTAAAATCTGAACTTTTCTTTGCTGACTGTCGTCATTTCCACCTTGGCCTTGCACTGCTTTGGTGTGGATTTATTTAATACAGATTTACATCTAAAACAGGATGATCATTGCTTCTGCTTGTTAATTTTCCACGCCTCTTGCGAGTTCAGACCTCCTGCTGTGCTGCCTTCGACTTGCACAAGCTGGTCTGAGTAATTGCAGACCCGCAGGGACGGATTCCAGCGGCTGTGCTGAATAAAACACACCAGGAATGTGTTATCAGTTTTACTCTAACCGATTGCATCTTGCAGATCCAAGTTTTCCAAATGCATAAAAACCAAAGTTTACATTGAAATAATTTAAATTTCTGACAGTAATTTACAGAGTTTGAACGGGTCGAATGGGAGCAGATAAAAGCGAAGGAAAACATTCCCAGGTTTGACTGATGGCTCCTGCTTGGCACATTTTTCATCCTCCTGGCCTCCCAGTCTGAAACTGGTGGAGGTTCAGGGAGAACCACAGGTGTGCTGGAAACTGGGAAAGTTCTCCAGGTGCTGGAAGGGACCGAGACGTCGCCCTGGGTGATTTCAGCAGGATTTTAAAATGTTTTTCTGCGTTGAGGCTCGCGTTGAACCGTGGGAATAAACCTGTTTTTTTTATGGGATTGACGATCTGTTGCAGCTTGACTTGTAGGCACATAAATTCTGGATGGAATAAATCCCCCAAAAAGCAATAAATTAAAAAATTTAAATATTAATATATCATCTCCATGTTAACTGTGCAAAACATGCATTTACTAACTTGTTATTCCTTATGGAAGATTAACGCTCATTTTATTGTTTTGGCACAATCAATAAATATATATATTTGTATAATATGAATAAATAAATGCCTCATTTGTGTGAAATTATGGGGAAATTTTAAAAGATGGGAAATTATGTTGTTGATTCACATTGTTTTAGAGATATTCGCATATCTGAGTGAAAAAACGAATCTTTAGTGAATTGCAGAAGTATTCATGCTTGTTTACACCGGATAAAAATGAAACAGTTTTATATTACATATTCTAATATATACTAACTGCTTTTATTGTTGGATATTTTGCCCAGTTGCTTATTATTTTTTAAATAGATCAGTTTTTACTGAAACTGTTGTCCTTCAAAGCTCATGCTGATCAATACTTTTTGCTCTTTTATTCATGATGGGATTAAAAATATCTGGGAAATGAGAAACTTCAGAAACAAGCTTTGGGATGTGTTAAAGGACAAAACGCTAAATAATTTGATGCATTTTCTTCTAAACGCCTCACTGTGTGTCTTTTTAAAACTTCATGTGTTTCTTCAGAAATTCTCCAGATATTTTGGGGTTTTTGCAAATATTCTGTTCGCTTGCATAAATAAAGCTTTTGTTTTGAAATGATCTTTTTCTGTGTTGTTTGCTGAAAGTGAAGTCAGTTGTTAGAGGGGCTTAGCCGCTGAAACCAAAGATCTTCTCCGTCACAGATGTTTCACTGCCATCCTTCCTGCTGTTTCTTTGCAAAGTTTAGTCCTGCATCAACCAATAAAGATTTTATGACACAGAAATGGACTTTTTGTGGTTTATTTCCTGCAGGAAAACGTGCAGAATGTGCAGAGCTGAGTTGAAACGAGGCGTGTTGCTGATGAGTCACGGTCCAGGGAGCGGCTCAGTTCCTCACCTCTGCTCCATGCAGCACTTTATTCAGATTCAGGCTGAAATTAGCATTAGCTAAAAAGACTTGCTTCACTAAAATACAATACACTCAGAAGAATGTTTCCCTTCTACTGACCAGGTGGACGAACCAAAATCAGTCAAAACCATTTGGCTGCAAAAACAAAATCTTCCAATTATTCTTGTCTAGTTTCGAGTGCAAATATTTTAGTACCCTTGAAATGAGACAGAACTAAGTTACATGTAATTATTTGTCAATAATTACTTAATATTGATGAAAAATTGGCAGATTATATAACTTATAACAGGGGAGACCAAACCTTTTGCAACCTGAAGTTGAAAATACGTGGTGGCCATTTTGTTTTTCTCACTTTAAACACAAAATAATGTCATTATTTTTTATTTAAATCCTCATCCAGAAACTTTAACTGCCAACTTTTTATCCCAATAAAAGGTAGAGCGTTTCTGATCCCTTTCATGTTATGTAGTCTAGAAATTTTCCCACGAACAAAAAGGAAAACGTTCTTCAGAAACCATTTTATTAATCAAGACAAATAGAATAGTGTTTTTGGTTTTTTTGAGTAAAACGTTTCTGAATGTTTAATGGGAAATTAAAAGAAAATGTCAGAAAAAAAATCTTGTGCTAAAAACAATATAAAAGTTTCCACTGGAGAACCAAATTTGTAACTGCAGTCGGGGGCCAAAAATAAATTGTTATCAGGGCCACAAATGACCCCTGAGCCACACTTTGGACACCCTCAACTTATGAGACATGTTTCCCGTGTCATAACTGGAACAATCTGCCAGGAAACCAAAGTTATTGATTCCAACAGGTAAAAAGTTACTGATTTTAAGTATACTAGGAAATTTCATTATAAAACACACACACAAATGGTAAACTTCAGAGTTTTTGCAGTGCATTTGTTGCTTCCACTTGCAATATTAAGAAAAACTAGAGAAAAAACAAATCTGGTCCCAAAACCAGATTACTCATCCTGCATTATCTGCCTGACAGTCCTTCACTGTTTGATGGAATATCTTTGCTGCACATCAGGGTGCATGCAAAGTGCAAAATGTCTCATTTATTTACTGGAATTGCAGCATTTATATGTAGAGGAACAAACATTTATTCCGAATTAAAGACTCGATCTGTCGTAGATGAGCAGGAAAATGACACGAGACAGACAAGAAGATTCTTCTTTATTTAATCTGAGGTCCATAGTTGTAACGGCATTTGACATTATTTATATAAAGAACTGAAAACCACATGTCTTCCTCCCTTTTCCAGATAGCTTTGTGTATAAAACCCCAATAAAATACGTTGAATTGAATTGCAACGCGGAAAAACACAATAACGTGTGAACGTCATCAAACCAACATACACGTCAATCGGATGGTGTTTGTCTCCCTCTAGTGTTTGAAATACTACATTACAACTTCCGCGTCCTTCATGTTACACCTCGCCAAACGTTGTCTAAATGCTAGAAACGAGTGAATTTACACAAAAATAGCAACAATTTTATGCACACGGTTTCCACTGACTGGTATCGTAGATATATCCAGCTCGTGCACCTGTAGGATGTATTGTCACGGTGGCCGAGAGGTTAAGGCGTTGGACTCGAAATCCAATGGGGTTTCCCCGCACAGGTTCGAATCCTGTTCGTGACGATTCACTTTTTGATTTAAAAATGCAACAAGCTTTTACGACACATTTTGATTTATTACCCTATGTATATTTGACGTAATGACAAAAATTCACCCGGATGATTACACTCATTACTGAGCAGTTTTAGGGAATATCCGTGATTACAACGTTAATAAAGTGTCCTCATGCTGAAATCTCGCATGCTTTTCTCGCGTTGAAACACAAAGTTGCGACCCTACTGTGAGTGGCAAGATCTGCTTGACTACAGATATGAACCTGTTTCGAAACTAGAATGAGCCATTTTTATATGCAGTTAAATAACTTTAGAGTGATATGTCGTGAAATATTGATGATAAACACACTAATGTCAAATTATTTACCATATTCCTATTTTGATGAAATATAAAACTTGTTATAGCCAGTGTTAAATATTGTTATAAAATATTTATATTAATTAAAACGAAAATAACAGAGGGAGCTCATTTATGCCTTTGTCAGGGAAACGTATTTCTATGTGTAATGAAAACGAGAAAATATTATTTATTTTTAACGAAATATAAAAATACGTTTCTCTGTGTCGCTACACATGCCACTTTAAATATGGCGGCCACGTTGACGTACATCCCCAAGAGCGTCACAATCTTGAACTCATGTGGGGCTCCGGTGCGGGTGAACTGAACCCCCTCCTGTTAAGTCGATAATGGTACAGTCCAGGCGGTATAAAAAGTCACCGGCAGCGAACAGTAACGTAGTTTTTGGGGCATTATAGAAAGGAGGAGAAAGTCGGTACTGTACGCAGCTGGCTTAGGCTTTTAATAGTTAGCTTTGTTAGTTCGGCCCAGGAGGGGCTAACATCCAGAACACTATAATCCCGAGCTTTCAGGAGTAATTTAATTCGCTTAGAGTTATAGCAAAGCATCTGGTCAGCCTACAGCTCCATATAATCTGAGCCACACAAAGGAAGCATCAGGGCAGCAGTATAAGCGGTTCAGGGTCAGAGATGGTGTTTCCTCACTGCAGGCTGGGATTAAAATCTTTCTAACTTCAGCTTCTTCTGCCTGCGAAGGGTATTTTAGACACTCCAGCCTCATAAAACTGATACATTATTATCTTATTAATACGGGTTTAGCATTTTAGCTGGTGTTATGTGAAGAATGAAACCGTTATTATAGCGATAGTCGGGACAGAACGGCTCATATAATGCATCCTGAAACTAGCCGAAGGTAGCTAGTTAACTGCGAGCTAACAAGCTTTCCGCTAACAAGTGGTGCTGCTGGGGACGACAATCACCGTCTGGTGTTATTTATGGGCTCATTAACCTCGTGACTCTGAATGGAAGCGTAGAAACATCCCGATTCTGAAGCGTTAGTGGCAATTTGAAGCCGTTTATTTTTGTGGAGCAGGGCTGCGGCTAGCAGGCTAACTAGCACAGCTAAGGCTAACAGTAACCGCTGAAAGGCAAACCGAAGGAGAAAAAGAGGAAGCTAGCAGAGGCTAACCAGTGATGGCAGCACCTTCTAACGAGGCCTTGTTCCTGATTAAGGACGTGAAACCGGGCTCTAAGAACCTGAATATTGTGTTCATCGTGTTGGAGATCGGTGAGTTGTGAGGCTAAAGTAGCCCCCTCCGTCCCCACGTCCACTCGGGGTTGTGTCTCTTAAAGGGACCGAGGTCTGTCGCAGCTCTGCTGTCTGCCATTCACCTCTGACTTTCTAATCGTTTTGTTTTATGTCCTCTCAGGACGAGTGACCAAAACGAAAGACGGCCATGAGGTGAGGTCCTGTAAGGTGGCGGATAAGAGCGGCAGCATCGCCATCTCGGTGTGGGACGAACTGGGGAGCCTCATCCAGCCTGGAGACATCATCAAACTCACCAGAGGGTAGGTCTGTCTCAGGATGCGTTTGCTTAAATTAAACTGTCTACAGATGATTCATGTTTTGTTTTGAAGGTATGCATCCATATGGAAAGGATGCCTGACCCTTTACACTGGAAGAGGGGGAGATCTTCAGAAGATTGGAGAGTGAGTAAATCATTCAAATTTCACTAGATACCCCAAAAAGTGGTAAATATAGATTTGAATTCACATCACAGTTCTTCTTCAGCTGCTACTCTTTGTTTCACATCAGAATTGTCAACCAGTCAGGTGTCACATACAGTAGATGTCCAGCATGTGTGGGGTCTGCAGAGATGTTGGCTTCCTTTTTTCAGACATTAGAAGTTCAGCCGTCATGGTCTTCTCTGCAGATGCTTTATTAATAAACACAAAACTGAGTGTAGTGCCACATTGAACCAAAAGGATTGAGTTACTCCAACTCATTCAGATCCTTTGCCATTTTCTTACTATCTCAAAATTTTTCCTGGATAATGTACATTTGCTTTGTGTGTGAAACTGAAGCATTTTGTCACCATTTGTCTGACTTTTATGAAACCAAAATGAACATTAAACCTATTTACATTGTTTAATGTCCTTGCGATGTTATGCAATGTTGTCAACAGTCACTTGATTAGTTTCTGGATGTTGGTCAGAAATATCTTCTTTTTTTTTTCCTCAGAAATATCTCAGTTTGTGCATAAAAGTAAACAAACATCAATTATTGCTAACCGGTTTTAATGGCTCCTGAATTACTGCAGCCTACAATACATTTGCAGCTGCGGTTCTGGACAAAAATTACAAAACAATATATTTAGCAGCTCCAATCTGGTGACTCAGTGATTTAATTTGTTTATTGACAAAATTGAAAAAAAAAAATTTGAGTTCCCATTTAGCAAGAATTTCTTCTGTTTTTATGACAAAAGCCATTCTGAATGCACTGTACAAATGAACTTGATTGATTCAGTTTCAGAGTGTTTTTGTTTGATTTTTAGTTTAAGTCAGTTTTTCTTTGCCAGGTTTTGCATGGTCTACTCCGAGGTGCCCAACTTCAGCGAACCAAACCCAGAGCTGCTCGCGCAGACGAACCAGCAGAACAAGTCTGTGAGTACCGACGCATCGGCCAGAAACCTGCAGGTCACGCTCACTTTGATCTGATTCTGATTTTTTTAATGCGAGACTTTTTGGTTCTGAGTAACTACAACACAACAATGTCCAGGGCTGGACAATATGGCTGAAAACATATCATGATATAAATGTTTCATATTGGTAAATATTTATAATTATCGATGAGTCATTTTTGAAAAATATCTGAATTGCAGCCAAACCGGTGACATGGCCTTTCCTGACTTATCTACGTTGTTTTTTATATCTAAGCGGTTCGGAGACGTGCTGGGGAAACTTGAAACTGCTGCTGGTCCAGTTACCCGGCATGTTGTTGCTAGGCAACCAGAGAGCGAGAGTTGGTTGATTTCACCAACTTTCCGTGAGCTAGCTCTGAGGTTGAGCAGCTAGCTCTGAGGTTGAGCAGCTAGCTCTGAGGTTGAGCAGCTAGCTCTGAGGTTGAGCAGCTAGCTCTGAGGTTGAGCAGCTAGCTCTGAGGTTGAGCAGCTAGCTCTGAGGTTGAGCAGCTAGCTCTGAGGTTGAGCAGCAGGAGCTTTTCCTCTCCCAGGAAAAGATCCTGGGAGAGGAATATTCGTTTCAGTGAATATTCAGTAAATTCTCATGATTGTTGTGGTATTTAAATATTTTCAGATGGCTGACATTTTGTCCTCCAAACAGGGAAAGCCTGACCAGAACCAGAGAGGAAACTCTCCGCCTAATCAGAATTCAGGTACCGTTGCTCCACCAGGTCAGTGGCTTCGGCTTCTTTTGGGTTTTTCTTTTGAAAATGGCCTCCAGGAAAACTCTAAATATTATTTTAATAACGTAGTAAATCAACTAGTGAAGCAGTGGGATTAGTTTGTAACTCACAGTTGCATTTGCTTTCACCCTGAATTTCCGTAATTTCTCTGAAGTTTGAGTCATTTTTAATTTTTTCTCTCACAGGTAACGGCGCCATGCCACCGTTTGCCAACAACCCGACCCCCGGCGCTCCCCGCGACCCAACGTTCGGCAACGCCGGTCGTTCTAACGGACGGTCGACGGCGGGCAACGGCGCGACGCCCGTCAACGCCAGCGGACCGCCGGCGACTACAAAGTCCTCCGTCACCATTAGCAACGGCAGGGATCCGCGACGCGCCAAGAGATGAAAGCGATCGGTTCGGTTCTGGTTCCTCTCCCCGCCGGTGACGGCCTTCACAATAATGAATGGTTTTATACAGCCTACGGTAGTCAGACGCATCATTTTGTCCTAGTGATTAAGCGCCAGAGCTACGGGGTCGGCCATCTTGGATGGAGACCTGCAGTAGTTATCCAGTGTTATCGCTCCCTCCCTCCTCCTTTCAGAGAACACATCCTACTTGAACACTTGATGCACTTTCTTCTCTTAATTTATGTTGAAGCTTGGCTGTGATTTAAGTCAGGAAAAGGTGTTCCCTCTTTATTTTCTCCAAGTGGAAAAGGCCTTAAGTGGTGAGGATGCGTTCAGCCGCATCTGAAGTGACTCTTAAAACACGTCAGCTGTTAGATTTTAATCATAGCCGTACAGAATGACTGTTTCCTCTCCATAAACCATGGGTTTCTTGTTTTTTGCCATGAACTGTACCTTTCTATCTTTATCACGGACCAACGATCAGACACGACGGTTCAAGTAAATCTTAATTATGCTGCCATATTTGGGTTTCTATTTGGTTCCAGAAGCTCCTGGTGTCAAACTGACATGTTGGGTTCACTGACTCTAATGGCGTCTGGCCTTTTCAACCTACAGTTAAATACTTTATTTTTCACCAATAAAATGTTGTTGGTTAAACATCTGTATGTTTCCGGCCACCAAAGTGCCACAAATAAACTTTCTCAGTTTCAACTCTTCAGCACCATCTAGTGTTAAGAACATGAATTTTTATTTCCCTGTTGTTTTTCTCTGGAAGTGTCAACAATGAATGCTCCGTTTTGCAGCAACGCGTTGCTTAACCTTAACCCCAAGTTTCCTCACATCCTTTGTTGCACCAAGCACCTAAATCTTTGAGACTTCTGTCGTCTCTCTCACACTTTCTCCAAGATTAAGCTGCGTAGAAAACCTAATGAGAGCCCAAAAAACATTAATTTAAAAGGTAAACACCATAGATGCTTATTAAAATTTAAAATGTACAATAAACAGACCAATTATCATTGTCTGCTCTATAATTATCTAATGTCTTGGTACTAAGATCTAATTCATTAAAAACTGGATTTGTACAGTGGAAACTTGCATTTCAATCCAATATGAGGTGCGTGGGCCTTCTGTGGCGCGCCAACAATCCGGCCCAAAGACATGATGGTGATTTGAAATGTTTCCTAAAATGAAACTTTCTGTGCAGCACAAAGTTTTGCTTTTATTTTGGTTTTATAGTAAATGACCAAAAACATTCAGATTCAGGTAAACCTGTCAGTTTCACTACATTTAGCAAAACTTCAACTGGTCTTGTTGCTGAGAATTTAAAGATGAATTGTTAGCATCCATATGCTAGTAAGATTCAAATGAGAAATTTAGTTTGGAAATAAATATTTACCATCACTAAATAGTGAGTTAAATATTTAGCCTTCAAACTAAATAGTTTCCTTTAAACTAGTCAGCCAGATATTTATTTAGCAAGCTAAATATTTAGCTCACTTATTAAACACTGAGCTACTTGCTTAGCTTTGTACTAAAGAGTTACATTTTGAGTATTTAGCTTCAAACTCCCTGGTGAGATAAATCTAGACATTTAGTTAAGCTAAACTAAGTATATTTAGTCATTTGAAAGGCTGTCTGAGAGCAGACATGTTGGAACTTTAAGGTTGATGAGAGATAATATGGAGTCATTAGCATCAGAGGTGAGTAGCTAATCTTTACTTTCCTTACATTTTGGAAAACTTAGAAATCGTTTTACTGCACTTTGAAGAATCGCTGCAAATGTTCTGATGTCAGTTTGTGTTTGCAGAGCCTGATGTTTGGAGATCCAGAGGAAACTGAGCATCTTGTTTCACTGAATGAACATCTGCTGTAAGTATCAGTTTCATAAAGTTTATACTGAAAACACTGATGGACGTTCTGCTTACATTTTTATTTTGAACGGCATTATTTGTATTTAATGTTTTTAGTTTTCATATGGCTGCTTTTTATTTTCACTGCAGTAAAATATGTTAAAGTATTAACATCTGAAGGCCAGATTATAAAGTACTTTTGGTCTTTTTGATGTGAATTAGATGCAGGTTGTGTAAAACCGTGTTGTGTTTCACAACCTGAACTGATTCCTGATGTTAAAGTTTCTGCTTTTAAATCAACTGCCAGTTTCTCTGAACAATTCTTTAGTTTCTGAAATACAAACAAATATTTACTCATTTTCTTTCATGCATCTCCTGACATCAGAGCTGCTTTCAGTGCAATTTCTCCACCTAAATCTACTTAAAATGCATGAACTTCCGTCTGATCGTCAGGTTTTATGCTTGTAAAGGTTTAACCTCGTTTTGGGTCGAATCAGGTTTTGTTTTGTTTTGTTTTTTGTCAACACTTGTGACACTGTGAGCTGAAACACATGAGATGTGCGGCAGGAAATGTGATGAACTCGTGTGTCAACAAAGACACATGTCATGAGTCGGGGACTTCCTCCCCGGCTGGCGGCGAAGTCCCCGCCGATAAATCTGTCCTTAAAAACTGCTGAGTCACTCAATCCGCTGCTCCTCATACCTTCACTGTGAGCTTCACTCATATTCATAACTCATTCTTCTCTAAGCATGGCTTTATTTCATATTTCAGCTTAAAACCCGTCACTCCTCTCAGATTTCAGATTGAATTGAATTGTTGGGTTATTGGTTTTTTTTTTTTGCATTACACACTTTTCTCTGTCTATTTCCCAACAAAATGAACATTTATTGGCCTGATTTATTGAAGAACCTCTGATATACTCAGTGTTGCCACAGAGGTGGACACTTCCCAGTCAGGACTGTTGAGCAAATCAAATTATGAGAAACAGGAAGGTGAGTTTGATGGGAGGAGAGTCGACAGATACAAGCTTGGTCTCCTGAACTGTCCTGACGTATTTGGAGACCTTCTGCAGCCAAGACACCATGATAACTGGTGAGTATTTCTGTATTTATTTCAGCTTCAGTTGAAGTAATCAATTCATGCTAATTGATTTATGCTAATTAATCTTATTGATTAACTGATGAGCCGCCATTTTCTGTACACAGAAAAGGCTACATTTTTCATATGGTTAATTAAATTAAATTGTTTCAGCTGAATTAAATACTGACTGATTAAACATTAAATTGTGGTTTTGTCACATTATTAATCACAGACATATTTTAAAGATGTGGGAAAACAGGAATGTATTCTGAATAGAAAGAGAAAAGATGGTGTTGGTACAGAAGCGCCGTCGGTTCTGATTCTTCTGTTTTATGCTTTTTATCATCAAATCCTCGTCGTTGCAGCATGTAAATTATTTCTGATGATAACATTGGTCCTTCTGCTTTAGGAGCGAAAAACATAAAACTTCAGTGTTTATATTTAGAAACAGAACCGGTTAAAGTGGATTTTATATCGTTTTCCGTTTTGGTACGGCTGCCATCTTTGTTTCTGTATCAAACCGTCAGCGCCATCTGCTGGATGGCGGCCAAACTATAATTAATTAGCATTACTTAGTATTAATTAGTATTACGACTGAATATTGGGGAGAAGTTAAAAAAATAAAAATAATAAATTACGACAATAAAGACATGACATCAGAGTTTTATGAGAAAATCCCATCATTGCAACTTTATTTTTAAAACACTTTATTCTCGTGAAACTTTCTCATGATTATGACTATTTTTATGTTATTACAACTTGTTGTATGATTTTGTTTGTTTATTTCAACTTCAATCTCGTAATATTTTGACTTTATTTCAACTTCTTAATTTTTTTGTTAGTTTGATTCTCCATCCATCCATTATTAGTTAATTGATTGGAGCCAATCATAAGTTAATTAATTATTTACATACTGATAAATATTTAACTGAACATGCACTGAAGGTTTTTCATTTCTGCCCTCAGATCCAAACGTGTCGTCATTTTTTGACGACTTCAGCTCCATCTATGAAGAGCTGAACTTCACCTACAACTACACAGAGTTCACCGCCGACCCGGCGACAGAACCCTGCGACAACATCCGCTTCCCGGAGGTCATGATGCTGATCGCCTGCTTGTTTTACGTCTTCGTCTTCCTGTTGGCCATTCCGGGGAATCTGGTGGTGGGGTTGGTGATCGGGCTGAGCAAGCAGACGCTGATGCCCTCTGACCTCTACCTGCTCCACCTGGCGGTGGCGGACCTCCTGCTGGCCTTCACCCTGCCCTTCTGGGCCACCTCCGTCACCTCCGGCTGGGTGTTTGGGGATCTCATGTGTAAAATCGTCACCGTCTTGCAGGAGCTGAGCTTCTACTCCAGCATCTTGTTCCTGACCTGCATCAGCATGGACCGGTACATGGTCATAGTGCGGGCGATGGAGGCCCGCCGCGCAAACCGCCAGGTGTGCAGTTTGGTTGTGTGCGTGGTGGTTTGGGTTGTCGGTGGGTTGCTGTCCCTTCCGGGGTTCTTCAGCTCCACGTTCCCTTCCCAAAACACAACCCAGATGGTTTGCGCAGTGCAGTACAACCCCAGCAGCGCAGACGAGTGGCGGCTGGCCACCAGGGTCCTCCGCCACGCCTTGGGCTTCGTCATCCCGCTGGCCGTCATGCTGCCCTGCTACGGGGTCACCATCCAGCGGCTCCTCCGCATCCGCGGTGGCTTCCAGCGGCAGCGCGCCATGAGGGTCATCATATGCGTGGTGGCCGCCTTCCTGCTCTGCTGGACGCCGTACCACCTGGTGGTGATGGCCGACACCTTCTTCCGGCTGAAGATCGTGGAGTACGGGTGCCGGGAGAGGACGGCGGTGGACCAGGCCATGTTCGCCACGCAGAGCCTGGGGCTGCTGCACAGCTGCGTCAACCCGGTGCTGTACGCGTTTGTTGGGGAGAAGTTCAGGAAGAAGCTGCTGCAGAAAATGAGGAAGATGGGCCTGTTGGAGCGGGCGTCGGTCTCCAGAGCCAGCAGGTCCTCCATCTCATCGGAAATCACATCAACAGTCATGTGAAAATGTTGCTGAAAGCTGCAGGATCAAACTTTTGCAAAACTGTGTTTTACTTATTTGTTGAAACCGCCAGTCGAAAACAAAATATCAGAGCCAAGAGAAGACTCCTAACGCTGACAATCAAGCTTGTGTATGTTTTGATAAATATGCTAATGGAGGAGAAACAAGTTACCGTTACAGAAAAATGATTTATCTGCCATTATCAGTAGCTGTGCTAACTAGCTTTAGCCTTCTTGGCTGAAGCTGCGGAAGGCTAACGCTAGTTAGCATTTGTAAATAGCTTTGTACTGATTAACCAGATGTAGCATAGCAGAGAGCAAGAGGGAAAGGATGTGAGCAGCATAGGTGAGAGTGATTGACAGCGCTAAGACCCTCCTCTTGGCTCTGATTGGTTGTTTTGACTGAGAGATTTATTTGTAAAGTTAGACATCACAATAACTTATAAAACCTATAAAAAAACATTTTTTTAATAAAAGTTACCAAGTGAAGCTTTAAGTCCAAATATTTGCTGGACTTTCTACACATTTTGTTACTTTAAAGTTGCCTTTAAAGCTTCTTTGCCTGTTATAAATAAGTTTCCTATGTGTTGATGTACATTTCATTGTATTTATGCTACCAGAAGAAAAGTTTCCTCGACTTAAGCTGGGAACCTTTGTGCAGAAGTAAAAGTACCAAAAATTAAACTCACATAACATCAGCACTGCTTCAACATTTCTTTACTCTAGTAAAAGTAACAGTCCCAGAAATTACTCAAGTGAAAATAAAAACGTATTTGGTAAAATTATGATCAAAGAAAATCTGATTTAGTATTCTTAAAAAAATTATACCATTACACAAAAATATAAATTTAGGTGAAAATACCTTTATTTTAAGGACAAATGAAAATAGTGATGTGAATAAATTAGAAAATTAAGAATAACAAAAAAGTTCATCAGTTACTCAAATACAACTAACTGATCTAATTATTTGGAAATGTTATCAGATACATTTAAATTTAAAATAACACAACTGCAAAATCAGATTATAGAAGCATTTTTACAAATCAATTTCTTTAAAAAAAACAAAACAAAACATGAAATGTATAAAAAATCCAGACATGTGGGGCAAAGTTTTGGTACTTAGATTTTTACTCAACTATGCATTTGTGTTGCCTCTTTTTTATTTTAGCAGGATTATGTCTCAGTGGAGGCAGAGAAACCAGGTCTGTCAACATTTTGCGTGAGTTGTGAAAATGTTTCATAACTTGCTTTCAAAATGTCTAGACAGACAAAATGCTAAAGGAAAAAAAACACCAACCGATGCACAAGAAGCTGTGAAAAAGATGTTGGTCTTTTATAAATCTGTTTTTTTTTATGTGTGTAAATATACAAATATTTTTATCAGCTGTTATTATTGAGTAGTTTCAACTGAAGCTAGCTTGTTGTATTGTCCATATTAAAAATGTAATTTCTGTATGGCCAAGAAACTTCATTAAAGTTGAAACAATGACTGTTTCTCGTCATGTGATCAACGACAGCAGCTCTGAGTCACATCATCGATCAGCTGGTTTTTTTATTGGTTAGGGACGAAACCGAAAACAGAAGTTGTGATTTCTGCTGCAGGAAGATTACAACGCAGTCAGATGTCAACATGCTGTTTTTCTCTCCTCTTCACCTTAAACTGATCCCTCAGATGCTTTTAGTGCAGCAAAGGGAATATGTGTTTTGTCCACCTTCTGAGTCTGTGGCCTGTTTAACTGTACAATCAGTCACACTGCCACCTTCTGGCAAACCAACAAATCTGCAGTTTAAAGTCTCAATGCAGGCAAGGAAAATGGGAATCATCCTTTAAAGCTTTAAAAATAGGACACTATTTGAGTCCAAACTACATACTGCGTTAGCAAGCAAAATATTTAACCCTAATGGAGAAACAAATAGACAATTTAGCTAACGCTGAGCTAGTTAGATATTTAATTAGCTCAGAGCCAAACATCTAGCTTGGAGCTGAAGAGTTAGCTTCCTCCAATAAAAACTTTGGAGCTAAATACTGAGCCTGCTCGCCAAATAATTAGGTTGGAGCTAATATTAGCTTCATAACTACTTTTTCAGTCTGTAGTTAAATATGTAGCTTGTTAGGCTATATGAAATTTGGAGGTAAATATTTGGCTAACTCTGAGATGGCTAAATATTTAAATATCTCAGATCTAAATATCAAGTTATCTTTGGAGCTAAATAGTTAGCTAGCTAATTACTTAGCTTGAAGCTAAAATTTAGCTAACTACTTAGGAGCTAAAGATAACTATGTTGAGTTATCAAGCTAATTTTGATGAAGTATAAAAAATAAATAATTTCTCTCACAGAAACAGGCCAACACGAGTTTCATACGACTGAAATGAGCTTGCTGTGATCAAACGGCATCTACTCCAATAAATATATAGCTAACTAAATAAATATTTAGCTAACAGTATATTTATATATAGCTATCTGCTGGCTAGCTATATATTTAATTAGCTGAGTAAATAGCTTTCAAACTAAACATTTAGTTTGGTGCTGAAATGTAGCTTGCTGACTAAAAACTTAGTTTGGAGCTAAGTTTAGCTTGGTAAGTATTTAGCGTGTTATTTAAACATTTAGTTTAAAGCTGATGTTTATAAATGTAACTTCCATTTTTGCTCTTACGACAGGATAAATGACCCAGATTGTTGCCCCTCTCCACCCTGCCCAGCTGCCCCTCAGTGTTGCCCCTCAGTGTTGCCCCATGCTCTGACCCCAGGTTGGCTAAAAATGAGGCGGAGGGCGGGAGCCTGGCGTTGAGTGGCCAGACGGACCAGCAGCTGTCGCTGTGCGGTTCGTGCGGCTCTGACCGTCATTTCCCCCTCCAGACTGACTGCAAAGGTCGGGGGAAACCATGAGTGGGCTGATTTAACTGACGGGACAAGGAGCGGTGACAGCAGGGGGTCACGGTGCAACTACCAGGGAGGCTCTGGTCCCTGGACGAAGCCAACCTCAAGGAACCTCAATGAAGACTTGAGTTTGGGAGGAACTCCACTGGGAAGAGGGAAAACCAAGAGAAGGAGGAAACTGGGATAAAAACGAGGTTGGAAACTCAAAGCTGCCAGTTCCAGGAGAAGTGGAAGGAGCTGCTGTTAAAGCAACATGATCTGGTGCGTCTTATCCTAAAAATACCTCCGTTCAGGCAGCGGCCTGTCTGCGTCCTGCCTGATTACCTGCTCATCAACAATTCCTTTTGCAGACAGCAGATAGCATCACTTTTACAATATTTAACAGCTGTACAGATGTTACTGAAGTTTTCCTGTTCCTGATGAGTCAAATGGATGGATTATAACTGGACCTGCTGATTTTAGGCCCTAAGTATTTACCCACCTAGACGTCCAACCATGAGAAAAGCTGATGTAGCAATGACCCTGAAGAAGGGGCCCGATGAGGCAGCAGCGCCCCAAAGTCCCATCATCCCCCCCAAACGGTCCAAAACGGCCCTGGAGCAGGTAGTCCCCGAATCCCGGAGCCCCGGCCATCCCGACCCGTCTCCTCCCGTTTTCACCCGGAAAATGCGGAACGCGGCGGTGGGAACCGGCTGCGACATCCGCCTGAAGGTGACCGTGGTTGGGGACCCCCAGCCGTCCCTGTACTGGTACCACAACGACGAGCTGCTCAACATGGAGAACCAGGAGTACGGAGGCCTGTGGATCAGGGACTGCAAGCCCAGCGATGCTGGTCTCTACACCTGCATCGCCAACAATCACCTGGGAGAATCCCGGACCAGCGCCGTGCTGGCCGTCCTGGACCTGGGAGAAGGTACCGGTTCTGCCTGCCTCCACCCCGACATGCTGCACCATCCATTACTGTCCCACTAAACCACTAACACACAGGATTCCTCAGAAACCCATAACAATAACTCCATCAAAGTTTCACCTTCAGGTCAATAATCATAATAATCACAACTAACTTCCTGCTCAGGAGCCAGAAATGATCAGGGTCACTTAGAAAAGACACATTTAGTTGGCAGGATAAATATTCAGCTCTTAGCTTCTAGTTACATATTTATTTTGATAATTAGCTTAAAGCTAAATATTTTTGATGGACGCTATATTTAGTTGATTCAGTATTTAGCCTACTTACTAAATGTTTAGCTTCCAACTCAATGGGATCTAACTGAATATGTAGCCTCATAATTCAGTAAATTCAAACTTACATTTTGCTAACTAGCTAAATATTTAGCTCTCAAACTAAATATGTAGCATACAAACTAGATCAACTAAACAGTTAGCTTGCTAAAACTAAACATGTCACTTGATGTTTGAGGTACATTTCCAGTTGTTTTGTTATTTAGCTTGATAACTAAATATTTAGTGAGATATTTAGCTTCCAAGTAAATATTTGGTGTCCAATTTTTAGCTTGCTAGCTCCCTATTGGGCTTATCACTAGATATTTAGTTTGTAATTGTAATATTTGAGTTAAAAATGGTGAACATAATTTTGAAATGAACTTCTATCGTTTTTGTCGGCTGTCAGGCTAAATAATCCAAGTTTCGGCTCTAAGTTTTGACTCCGTGGATCCAACCTGCTCCCTGTAGGATGCAACTAATTTGGAGATTTTAGCCGTAAACATTGAATAATTTTACCTAAATCAGAGAAAGTAGCTCTGTGTCGACTCCCGTTTCTCTCCAGAATCACCTTATTTTTCCTTTTCCAATCTAAACCCAGTGTATTCAGTTTTGCATGTTTTTTGGTGTCAGTCGTCTGACCCAGAGGCTGCAAAGGCCAAACTTCCTGATCAGAAACCCAGATTTTCCTGCTAAGCATCGCCTCGATTCTCAGCTCAAAGTCTGGTCAGCTCTTCTGCAGAGTTGCTTCTTTATATTTCAACAATAACATCTTGTGCAGAAAAAAGAAAAATATTGCACACCCTAATCTTAAAAATCCCAATTTTGCAAGCTCTGTGTCAGAAAAACAAGTCCAAATGTTTCCAAACATTTCATTTATTAAACTTAATAATTGGTTACTTTGATAAACTTTGGAGATGAATAATAAACAATCCTTAAATCCTGCCTGTATTCACTGAATTTTATATTAAACCTCATTTCCACTGATAAAATTTAACAGGTTATGACCAAATTAAAATAACTCTTGAGAGACCTCCTGTTGGTAAATATTATTTATTGTTGTCATTTAATTAAATATTATCACAGTAGAAAGGATGAATTTGATTTTAACATTTTCAAACGCCAAAATTGGCTGGAAAAAGATATTAAAATGAGCAGCACTCCTTTTATTCTAAATAGTTTAGATATGCTAAGCTAACTAGCGCTAACCTATAAATCATTTAAGCAAAAAAGCTAAATTTAAGTGATAAGTCAGAGTTATTTCAATGTGGAAGATAAAAAGATCTTGCAGATAAAATTCACATTTTTAATATTTACAGGTTAAATGTCTTATTTTTGTGATGAATCAGCCTTTTTGTTGCAAAAATAGTCTAAAAATTATATTAAAAATGTTCAATTGCTGAACCAAACACGTTTTAAAAGACAAACCACATCAACAAACAAGAGCCATCTTTCTTTTATTTTCCTCCTGTAAAAAGCCAGAAGCAAAGGAAACAAAGAAAACAGGCTGCTGTTGTTTTCAGAGCTCAGTCCTTTGGGTTGAACTTTCCCTTCAGGGATCTTCCATCTTTAAAACTCAGAGGATCTTTGAATTTCAGTTTCCCAGCAGCTCAGTTTGATTGAAACTCCTGGATCCTCGGCCGGCTGCAGCTGTCCCATCACTCAGCGAAGCCGCGTCTCTCTCTGAACGTCTCTGTCCGCCCTCTTGTCCTCCGACCCCCCGGTTATTTATACATAGGAATGCGCCTGGCCTCAGATTTTTGTGATGCTAGCAGGCCCAGTGTCTCTCCTGTTACACAGCAAGACATCACTGCTAATATTAGCCAACGGGTTTCGCTCCGAGGCGCTGAGCGCGCTCAGATCATCCACACGACGCAACTTTCTTCCACTAAAATCACAGCGAATGTCTGGCATGAACTCTGGATCCAGCTGTGCAGGATGCTGCTGCTAATTTATGCTAGCAGATCAATCAAAAGTTGTAAAATGGAAATGTTTTCCCATGGTTCATTTTCTATTTTTATACAGTTTCTGGAACATTTTTCACAACCTTTCAGAAAATCCAACTGAAAGTTGAAACAATCCCTCATAATTCCTGCCCTGCAGCTGATTTATGACTTTTTCAAGCCAAAAATCAGGTTGTAATGCTGAGAAGAGTCAAAAGGTGAAGGGATGAGAGAAAGGAAAAGGGCCCATCTGGAGCAGGTGGGGCGATCATCCGGTTGAGCGTTGGGCTATATTTGGAGGTTGGATGTAGTAGTGAGCGAAGCGTCTGCATGTTTCCCCGCCGTGTCGTCCAGCAGCGAACAGGTGGAACCTGAGTTCCTCTGGAAATCCCCGCTCTGATGCAATCAGTGAATCAACAGGGGCTGATCCTCTTTAATTAGAGGATAAATCACTAGAGGTCACTATGAATCAGGCCACAAATGGACTGGAGAGCAAAGGTTTCCATCCTGGCTTTGCTTTGCAACAGGATTTTAAACATTTCTCTTCTAATACAGAAAGTGATGCAAACCTGTTAAGGTGTTTTTTACTTGTCACAGATTGCTTTACTTTCAGTTTCTGTTGCCACAGTCAGAGTAACTAAACCCAAAATCAACTTTCTTTTCGCAGATAAACTGTTTCAATAGTTTTTAAGGATTTTATCTTCATGTTTCTGTGCAAATCTTGAGATTGTTTTGTGCAAATTTGATTAATTCTGCAATATGTTCCCTAAAACTGTCTCAGTGCTGCCCTCTGTGGGTTGAACACAGGCTACTGCAGATCAATTTTCCTATTGGTTGTTGAAGAAGAAGAAGCATTTTATTTTTAAAAAGTCGCTAAATTTGTCACTTTTGTAAAGAAAAAAATGGTGGTTGAATTTGCTGCTTGAATTTGTCACAAATATGAAAGAAATGACCCCAAATTAGTAATAACTTTTGAATTTTTGGTAACAAATTGTCTATTATGATGTATTAATTGTAGAAAACATTAGAAAATGTAAATATGTTTTGGTAAAAGTTTGATTTGTTTTGTTTTCCTCGATTTAAAACAAAGTTTCTGGATTTATTGCAAGTGTCCACTGGATTTTATCACTAGTTTGTCTTTTGTGGAAAAAAAAGAAAAAAGTTGGTAGATTTATTGTTTGTTGCTTTTTTTTAAAGTTGCCAGATTCAGAGTTTAAAGAGATAGAAGCCAAATTAAATGCAAAGTCAAATTTATGTCAAGTTGTGTTTGATATAAATGTAGCATTTTCATAACAGCTGAAGGTGAGATTGACTCGTGATTGTCTTTAAAAAGGCTTGAGAAATACATAAAACACATATTTAGGTGGATCTTAATGAGTAGATCATTTAGTTTTGCTACTTTTCAGGAAACCTTTTTCCTGCCTGCTGATGATTTTCTCTCCCTTTCATATTTTTATCACTCAGATGTTCATATCAAACACCAGATTGAAACCAAAACCTCATGAAATGCAGTTTCCAAAGAGACAATCCTGATCACATCCCCTGTCTTGATGCTTCCTGCCATTTGTTTCCAGTTTTCTGTCATTTTTCCGTTGCTGGTTGTGGGTTTTTCCAGCTGGGCTGCACGGAGCAGACTTTCCCCAGCAGATGATTTGTTGTTCTGCGTGAACGCTGCTGTGGCAGCAGTTACTGTATTTATTAATAAATAAAGCAGAATGAGCAGGATTTGCTGCTCCTCCACCGCGGAGCAGCGGGGATCTCTCCTCCTCCTCTCTGCTCCTTCCAGCGGTTCCAGGATCCAACTCGACCTCATGGGGAGGAAGAGTCGGATCCGGAGAGGCTGGATCGTTCCCGCCGGTTCGTTCCCGCCGGTTCGTTCCCGCCGGTTCGTTCCCGCCGGTTCGTCCGCCTACAGGGGAGGCGTTGGGGAGGTGTGGAGGGGGAGATGCTCTCTCCATCGCTGGCTTTTGTTTTTGCCACAGAGGGGGGGTGAGAGATGCATTCAACAGACATTTGCACCTGCGGATGGAGGTTTGCTTCCCACGCATGGATTCCCTCAGCAGAACCGCAGAGAGTCGGACTCGTTATGTAATCGACAAAGTGCCTTTTTTCTTTTGCGTTTGCTTCTTATTTCCTTTTCTCTCGCCTGGTTGTCAGCATATGAGAAACGGAGCGTTATGCGCTGAAGCTGCTGATGTCTCTGGAGGAAAATTCCTCATTTAGGAGCAACGTGGCGGCGCGGATCCCCCCGAGCGGCGGGGGATCCCCTGCTGCTGAGCGTCAGCCAGGCACAGAGACAAACCAGCCATGAAAACCTTTCAGACCAAAGAGAGAAACCAGGCAAGTGATCACTTAATGCTGTCAATGTGAATGTTATCTGTTCCATCCGGGCTTTCCTCTGTTCCCACAATACTTTGGAACAGTCGGTTACTCAGAAATCAGGAAAAAAACTTTAAAGTTTCACTTGAAATATTTTTACAAGATTTGGACATGGCTGTCATTTCACGTTTTTACTTTTGTTTCTGTTTTTTTTTTTTACTAAAAAAAGCCAAAAAACAAACAGTTTTTATGTGCTGAATCTGAAAAGCCAGACTAGATTTAAAATTAGAAGAAGCCAAAATATTTAAAAAAATGTTTAAAGTGATTAAAGTCAAGCTTGTTGTAAATCAAAACTAATCATTTGATGTGAAAGAAATGAACCCAAATCAGTAATAACTTTTGAATTTTTGGTAACAAATTGTCTATTATGATGTATTAATAATAGAAAATATTAGAAAATGTAAATATGTTATTACATAATTCAGCTCAGGGTTAAGATTGTTTCCTGTTTGTAAACTATTTTATGTTTCCACATGTAGTTCAGATTTTGACCACTAGATGGTACCAAGTTACCTCAAACAGCAACATTAGCAGGAGCGGAAATGTAGCAACCAACGTTTGTTGTATTTATGTTTCTATCTTCACCTTCACTAACAATGTGACGTTTCACACTTTGTTTAAATTCATCTCATCTCCATAAAGGAAGAACCTTTACAGAAGGTTGTTTTCTGTTTTTTTTAAAACTTTGAATGTAGGGATTGATGCATTTGCATTAATGTTGCAAGAATCTGCAGAGAAAACTGGAGATTTGTGCAGGATGAACAGATGTACAGAGCATCACTTCTAGTAAATATTAAAAGAAAGGACGGAGATGACACCAGCTCCAGCGGGAACGAACAATAAAATGATGAAGGAAGCTTTTATTAAGCTGCAGCAGCTGTTGGCTTTATTTTAAGACCATTCTTTCCAAGTGTTTCCTGATGCTGGGATGCAGATTCATGAGTGACTCAGTCATGCTTTCTATTTTCAGAGCAGTGACTGTATTTTCTGTGTGTGTTGAAACAAAAGGCGTCTCTAATTAGCATGCACTTCTATCCAGAGAGAATCTGCTGACATTAAGCTGCCCTTAATTTAGTCTCCAATATTTACTTTACTCCTCGGCCTCCTTGTTCGGTGACATGCGCCGTATTTATGCCCGAGTGTTTGGACTCCTTTTCCACTGGTTCACTCAGCAAACCAAGGTGACCAAGGCTCTTGTTTTTTAATCATTCTCCACCAAATATTGCTGATGAATCCGTGTGACAGTGACGGTGTAGTAAGGATGGTGCTATGGCAGCCATGTCCTCTCCTCATGCCATGATCCAACTTCAGTCTCCCGTTTCGCCAGAATGTAAATTATTGCATCTCAGACTCAGTCAGGCTGTGTTTGTCTTGCCTGCAGACTCTGAGACAACAGAAGATGAAGGCGGCGACCAGTTCGAGACCAAAGAGGAATACAGGGAGGACCGGGCCGCGCATGGTGGGAACCCGTCTATCTTCCTCCGCTGCGTCCCGCCAGGACTTGTTTTGGATCTGCTGTCATTGCTGCCGCAGCCTTCAGACACTGATCAGCAGCATGTTCAAGTGTTACGGCCCAAAACCCCAAATAAGGCACCAACAACCCCACACAGCTGAGCCACATCCACTGCTGCTACAATGTTCGCTAACTTCTCATAAACATTGGTTACTATAATACTAAAACGCTACTTATTTATATTTATATTCACTTACTTTTTAGATTATTACGCAGAGAAACTCCAGAAATAGATTAGAACGAACTTAGAATCCAGAACAGGAACATTCAGCTTTTATTACTGCTTTTACAAAACCGGAACATTTTTATAAAGTCCAGACGATACCTACTCACTTTCACTGTAACAACCCAGAACAATAAGAAGAAACTTAGAATCCAGAAAAATGGCCTCAGAACCTGAATGGATTATCAGCTTTATTACATTTTCTTTCTTCTTCTGCTCTTTCATTTGGTTTGTTATTTAGTTTCCTTTCTAATTTATGAAAAGCATATTGAATTGCCCTGTTGCAGAAAATGTGCTATATGAATAAAATGTCATTACCTTACCTGTACCAACATGGTTTTGGGCGGTAACTAATGCTAAACACTAACACAGTACTTTACAGATGCTAATGCTAAACAGCTAACTTGAATTCAGATTGTCTGGCCTTCAGAGACAACACTTTAATTTTGACATGTTCTGTAAAGGCTCTAGATATTGTGTTTATGTTGATATCTTGTTCTCCTGTTTTATTTTGTTCCTGTGGAAAAAAGAGAGAGAACTTTAGGAGAGGAAATGGAACTAAACAGTCTTTGTGCACTTCAAAATAAGAGCATGAACGTAACCATCTAACGGCATGAACGTAACCATCTAACGGCTTGATGAATTCTGTCAGTGGGTAATTTAAACTTTAACACAGACGTGTGACTTTATTCAGCAGAAAGTTTGCAAATCATCGTATTGTCGTAGTTTTGGTTGATTGGAATCCGACGTCTTCAGGTTTCGGTGGAACGTTTTGTCCCAACAAAGCAAAAGTTTTTTCCTGCAAAGGGAAACAGGTTGCTTAGTGATCATTGGGTCTGTGATTATTTTGTGGGTTAGCAGCTGAAAGATGAGTAACTACTGGATTCATTGGAGTGTATTATTCAGTATCACCATTAATTTATGACTAATTTACCAACATATTTGTTTCTCTGCATAAGAAACAGTGATGGAGAAATGTGGGGAGGACAGAAGTAGAACACATGGACTCGAGGATTTCTCTACCAGGCAAGGAGGAGTCACATTACGGCGGTCCAAAATGCCTTGTTGTCTTCCTGCAGTCATTCTGCATGCAGGTATTGACATTAAATTCTTCCTTTTCAGAAGCCAAGACGATTTTGCAAGAGAATCTCCTCCCCAAGTTCTTCCACCGCCATCGCCAAGGCTGGTCAAGCGCGGCCCGCCGTCTCCGATGCCAAGCCGCTCTGGTTCAACCACTCCCGTCAGCTCGCGGAAGAAGATTGTTGTGCCAACTGAATACCAAGACACGGTTCCAGGAGAGTTTGAGGAAAAGACAAAGCAGCCAAAAGGTGTTTCTCAGGGAGGTGGCCAGGACTCCAGGCCACAGACCCCACTGAGCGAGTCTTCCCGAAAAGAGTTCAACCTCAGACCTTCTCCCAAGCTGACAAGGGCAAGCTCAAAAGTTTTCGAGAAGGTCCGTGGCTTAGAGGAGCGGCGGCGAAGCCTCGATATTCCAGAAGGTTCTGTCTCGGGAAGGTCCTGGGCGGGGTTCAACCGTGCTGGGTCGGTAGATTCAGACGACGGTGGAAGCCGGTTGGGCATCTCCAGGGAGAGTTCAAGAGAAGATCTTCGAGAAGCTTTGAAAGAGGATGCTGCTGAACGGAGATTCATGTTTAAGCAGAGAGCTGCTTCCCTGGAGGAGAAACCACGCTACTCTCAAAAGGTTCAGGACATTGAGAACAAGTTCACGGAAGAGCTCCAGCGCATCAAGAAACTGGTTGGGAAACCCCATCTAAAGAAATCCTTCTCCACCGAACAGCTCAGCCTGAAGGGGAGGCAGCGCCAGCCTTTCAGGAAAATCGAACCGATTCCTCCACAAGTTCTACAGAAGCTGCAAGAAAGAGAACGAGCTCAGTGGGAAAAGGAGCAAAGGGAGAAGGACCTGAGTCAGCAACCAATGCAGCAACAGCAGCAGGAACTGCATCAACCCCAGAAGACAACAGCAACTGGCCCAACAGCGGAGAGATTCAGAGACGCCCCAGGGCCGCCGGAGTCGGTGCAGTTATCAGAGCTGCCGGGTCAACGGTTCGTCCGGGAGTTACACAGAGTCAGTCCGGTAGTAGAAACGCTTCCCAGGTCGTCGTCACCAGCATTGCATCAACAGCAAAGGGCCGAGTCGCCCAGTGTCATAATGACACTGCGAAAGGTGGAGCGACGGCCCCCGAGTCCGCTTGTTCAAAGAGTTTCTCGAATGCAAGAATCGTCTCACAGTCAAGAGCCAGAGACAGGGAGGAAGACGCCCGTTGAGGTGGCAGTGAGAAAAATTGAAAACAGACCTGAAAGTCCTCTGGTGCAGAAAAGGGTTGTCATTATGCAAGATCTTCACCTTCAGCCTCGTCCAAAATCTCCACGGGTAACGTCCGTCACCCCAACAGAGGACGTGACGGAGGTGTCCAAACCGGTCCCGCAGCTAAAGGTCCCTACGATTATTGTTGAAGACGAGAAAATGGACGTGGACGTTCCTGCAAAGACAAAAGAGCCCAAGCAGACGGGTATAAGTGCCAAGGAGGGAAAACCTCCAAAGACGAAAGGGAAGAGCCGCCGTCCTCGTCCCCTGTCTCCAGAGTTAGGTTTGTGGTTTAACAGACATTCTTGCTCAGTATCACTGCCTGGGGATAACCACGGTTAAAAATGTGCAGATTCCTCAGACGATTCGTACGTCTCTGCTGGAGAAGACCCGATGGAGGCTCCCGTGTTTGAGTTTAGCCTCCAGGACACCGAAGCATCCGCTGGCGCAGACGTCCTACTGAAAACCATAATCGTAGGAACTCCATGTCCTGAAGGTAACATGTCTGCTTTTTAAGTTAAAATCCCTGAAAACGAGGAATTTAAACAGAACAAGTTGAGTTGTTTGCCTCACTGTCTCGTCTGCTCAAGTTACCTGGACAAAAGACAACATGGATGTCACAGCCATGCCGAGCTACCTGGTCAAAGTGGAAGGCGAACGACACAGTCTGCTCATAAGATCAGCTAAAACAGCTGACAGTGGGAAATACTGTGTGACTGCAGTGAATCAGATGGGAAGAGCCACCAGCAGCGCCACACTCACCGTCAAAGCAGGTGAGACTTCGCTGCTCCTGTTTCAGCTGCTTTAATTAACAGCATTACAGCCAGAAACCATGAGAATAAAATCACAATATGAAGTATTACCTGAAGACAGTCAAAAAATGACAAAAACGTCATTTTAATGAGAAAAATTCTTCAGTTGAGTTTTAAGATCTGACTTTAAGATCTTTTTCAACTTTTTGTGGCATTATTATGACTATGTTCTTGTGATATTACAATTTTATTCTTGTATGACAATTCTTTACTTTTGTTTAGTTTTGACTTTATTTTCTTACCACTGTGACTTTTCTCTTGTAATATTGTGATTTTATTCTCATATTATTAGGATGTTATTCTAGTACAACTCTATTTCTGTCATATGACTTTACTCTTTATTTTTTACACGTTGCACATACAGGATTCCTAAGTTTATGATTAATTATGTTCATAAGAATATGATTAATTGGGAAACTTAGAACTGCACAAACTTGATCCTAATATAGAGACACTATTCAGAATCGCAACTCATCAAAGTGACAGGACTTGATATTGTACAATATTCCCTTCGTTTATTTGCATTTAGACCAGAATACCACGTGTTTTGATCCCAATTTAAATTATTTACTTGAACCAGTCCAATATTTTTGGTTTAAACCTCATTTCCTTCCAGTCTGCTGTTCATTTTGCAGTTTTGCATTGAACATTATTGGTGCTAATCCACAGAATGATCTACTTAACCTCTTTAATTTGCAGCAGAGTACCTTGTAGAATATGCTTCATGTACGTAAAGTCGATAGATTTAGATCAGGCCAGTGTTTGTAACGTTTGTTCAGTTGGTGCTGCTGACTTTATAAAAATCCATTGTTCTATACTTTCTCTTCCCACGCTGCTTTCTCTGCTGCTCCCTCGCCGTTATCTCCCTAAACAGACTGAGTGTGCATGTCTGAGTCTGTGTGTGCGTCAAATACTGCAGCTCAACAGCCACACTTATAGTTTCCATAGAAACGACGAGGGGAAACTGAACCTGTAAATTTTCCAGTGGCTGTGAAAAAACGCCATTGTTTTGATGCAACACGGTTTCCCATTTCAGATGGTAATTATTAGGGGTCATTTGTAAACCTATTCAACGCCTGTGTTCTCGCTGAGCTGTGCAAAAAGCTAAATAATCAATGTTTGCATTTTCCTCATGTTTGAAGCAGAAATCCTAATATTTGAACACTAAAGTCAGTTTTGGATAGCTAAAAAAAACCAAGTCTGTTGGAAAACAACAGTGTTGGTTGTCCGCTAATAGTGGAGCTAACGTTTGGTTTAGCACTTTAGCTTTGAAAACATTTAGCACATTTAGCTCACTGACTGGATAAAAAGTAAAGCGTTAATTTACTGTTTTGTAAACTAATAAAGTTCAACATCTGTTTTGAAGTTTTGGTTATTAACTGTTGAGGATTTTCCATTTCAATATTCATGCTCTTATTTTGAAGCTTTTTACACAGCACTTCCTCCCCTAACATTCCTTAAAAAAACAACTTTATTGAGCAAGTGGCAAACATACAACAAATGTGTGGTGTGTCATTAACACATGGTGATGTCATGGTGGAAATTAGCGCTTCAGCATTAGCTTCTGCTCAATGTGGTGTAGGTATGATCCTTTAGCCTTAGCAGAGCTAATGTTTAAGATTAGCGCTTTTTAGTTAGCATTGTCCAAAACTGGAAAACAACTTTTGACTTTAAAATGCTGCATTTAGCTTATGACTGTTAATCTGGATTTGAATAATGTTTTCAACACAAATCATAGTTTTCACTGAGGAACTGCTTATTGAAGCTACATTTCTACTCTTTTGAGCAGGTTGGTTTTGTTTGCAGCCAATGAGTTGTAAAAAAGGCGGGAATCATCAAAGCAGCCGCTCATTTTACCCAGAATTAACTTGGCAGTGGTGCTGAGGGTGTTGATGGATGGAAATTTAACCCAACTTTGCTGATCTCAGACTCTGTGCAGGAGCTGAAAGGAGGTTTGGGTGTGCCGATGGAAATCAGCAGCCCGATAACTTCTGACGAAGAGTATTTAAGTCCTTTGGAGGAAGCCACGGACTTCGGAGCTCAAGAGCCGAGACGAACTATTGACACAAGATTCAGGGAACCTCCTGCTTTTCTGGTCCGACCATCGACAACAAACTGAAGCTAATTTACTTTGAATTTTAATGTGTTTTTTTTTAACCATTTTAGAGCACGAGAATGTGCATTAACATTGTATTTCATTCATTTTTTGTTACATTTTCAACAGGCAACAATGGCCGACCAGTCCGTCACTGAAGGACAGGAAGTCAGCATGTCTGTTCGGATCGCAGGACAGCCGAAGCCGCTGCTCTACTGGTACGTTCCTCCAGGACGCCGCGTCACGTTTCATCAAGCTGCAGCAGATTTCCAGTTCCAATGAGGTTCAGGAGGTTTTCTGGGTGTAGCAACTCCTTCACTGCATCATTATCACTGATTTGATCCCACAACCGCAATAACTTGGAATAAAAATGTAAAAAGTTAAATGAAAAGTCAAATCTTAAGTTTCAAAACAATTTTTCAGTAACATTTTTTAACAGTTTTTTCCAGTTCAAATATATTTTTACAGTTTCAAACTATTTTCCATTTTTTCTCTATTGCGAAATTGAAAATTGTTTTGTGGCCCCAGTTTATCTTCATAGACAAAGAGACGCGTTGTTCTGTGTCTTCTTTTTTTTTTTCAGCCTTATGTAACGTTTAGCGCTGCATTATTTTTAACTCATCACATCAGCTCCGTCCTGTAAATAATCAGAAAGGCTGAATCATTCATGTGGGCCGCAGAGTTCATCATGATTTTAAACAACAGCAGAAAATAAAGAGCGATGAAGGAACGCCGCCCACCACAAGTCTGTCAAAGCAAAACAGAGGAAAATGTAACAATCTCACATCTCAGGGTTTGACATTTTGCTTCAGGCTGAGGGACAGAGTGACGGTGAAGTCGGACGCCCGTCACGTCGTTCGGGAGGCAGCGGACGGCGCCTTCGAGATGACCATCAGGTCTGCGGCCAAATCCGACTCTGGAGTTTATACGTGTCGCATCATCAACGAGTACGGCACCAAGCAGTGCGAAGCCAGGCTGGAGGTCAAAGGTCAGCTGCATGGATGCCTCCTTGCTTCCTTTGTCCTTCCTATTTCACTCTCATTTTTGTTTCCATGTCTCTCTCTCTCTCAGCTCCTCCGGTCGAGCCGGGTCTGTCCGTTGTTCGCCCGGTGAGGGACATCACGGCGAAGGCGGGAGAGACGGTTCTGTTCGAGTGTCACGCCGTTGGGCCGAAGGACACCGACGTGGACTGGCTGGCGGACGGGAAGCTGATCCAACCCGCCCTGCTGAACTGCAAGATGCACTTCGACGGCAGGAAGTGCCGCCTGCTGCTCAACTCCGTCCACGAGGACGACAGCGGGACTTACACCTGCAAGCTCAGCACCGCCAAAGGTTCGGACCTGGAGAACGTGAGGCGCAAGATGGCCGACGCTGATGTCACCTGATTGCTGTTATTGGGTTTCAGAGGAAGTGACGTCCAGCGGGAAACTCAAGGTGATTCCGTCACTGGAGCCTCTGTTCACTCGGAAGTTGGACGTTCTGGAAGTGATTGAGGGTCGAAACGCTCGGTTCGACTGCAAAGTGAGCGGGACGCCGCCGCCGAAGGTCCTCTGGAGCCACTTTGGTACAAACACACTGCAAATACACACATTTTATAACCTGGGTGCAGGTGGCCACACCTTCAAATTTAACTAAACGTGCTTCAAACGTTTGTGCAGCAAAAATTTCCATTTGTGCCGCAATCGTTTTAAAGGATATTAATATGTATTTTCTTGGTCATCATCAATATCTTCAAAGCTAAAGCAGAACAAACAACATTGAGTTGATTGACACTAAATTTGATTTTGTAAATGTCATTTTTTTAATTAATATCTTTAAAATAATAGCAGCACAAAGGAAAGTTTTACAAGAAAATCCTGAAGGGAAACTACGTAACTTGGGTTATGCATGTAAAATATGGAAGTTTCGGTGTGACCTAGTCAAAGTTCCACTTAAATTTGATTGGGGAAACCCAGGTTTTCTGTGTCTGATAAATAGTTTTTTTGATCTGCAACTTTTAAGTTTGACAAAAGAAGCAGAAACAGATTCTGTGATCTTTCTCTTCAGACCAGCCGCTCATTGAAAGCGAAGACGTCCGGATGGTCCAGGAGGGCGGCCGCCATTCTCTCATCATTTCTCACGTGACGAGTGATGATGAAGGTTTTTACACCATCAGAGCCCGAAACGCTCACGGAGAAGCCGAGAACTCTGCTGAACTCTACATCCAAGAGCCGCGGCCGGCCATCTCCTCTCAGATGTAGGGAGATGTGATTCACCTGGAACTCATGAATCTGCGAAATATTCCTCCCTGAGCCGCATCTCTCTTCCTCTCAGGGCCAAACTGGAGAAGATGCCCTCCATCCCAGAGGAGCCCGAGGTCCCGGAGAACGAGGTGGAGCGCTTCACCATGCCCGACTTCATCAAGCCTCTCTACGACCTGGATGTGGTCGAGGGGAAGGAGGCGGTGCTGAAGTGCAAAGTGGCCGGCCTGCCGTACCCGACCATCACCTGGTTCCAAAACGGCCGGAGGATAGAGAGCACCGAGGACAGGAAGATGACGCAGTGTAGGCGGAGCTACGCCAACACTGTGCTGCTTTAGCTAAACCTGCACTCACATCTACACTCTGAATTTTATTATTTGCAAAATAACTCCAGTGAGATTGGATGAAGTATCTCAGTTGAGACTTTGACTAGGCCATTTTAACACATGAACATTCATTTCTCTAAACTGTTGGATTTTTACTGCTGGAAGTTGAAGTGCCGTCTCAAATCTTCTGCAGTCAGCAGTGGTGGACTCCGCTAGCTAAAGGTTACCTAACATAAAAATTGTAAACATTCATTCTGCTAACGCTAAACCAATATACCTAAATGGTATTTAGCAGACGCTAATGCTAATGCGCTAATTTCAAACACATTGATGCACATGATCTGTTGTCACAAACAGCCTAGTAAATTTATACGTAAAACTTCATTTTAGGGAAGCTAAGTGCGCTAAACATTTTAAAAGTTAGCAAAAGCTCCAAAGCGCTAAGCGACAGCTATTAGCACATTAGCAGATTAGCAGAATTGTGCAACTACTGGCAGTCAGTAACAGGTTTCCCATCAGGAATGTCGTGTTTTTAGCTCCATTCAACTCCAACCAGCTTCACTGTCCATTTAAAGTAACGTCTCCCCTCAGCATGACACTGACATCACTATGTTTTCTGTGATGATGGTTTTTCAGGGTGATTTGCAGTGATATGTAGCATCTGTCGATGACACAACATTTTACATGAACAGAAAAGATTTATTCAGAGGAAGCTAAACATTTTCAAAGTTAGCAAAAGTGATTCGTTCTGCTATTAGCACATTAGTGGATTAGCGGTGCCCACCACTGCTGCCTACAGTTCCAGGACTCGTCCATAGGGATGATCGTATATTTTGTTCAAGAATCCTTCCAACAAAAACTCAACCAACTTCTAAGACCTGCTTGTTCTCCTCTCTGCAGTCCGTGACGTTCACAGCCTGGTCATCCGCTCTGTGTGTCATGCTCATGGTGGCGTTTATAAGAGCGTGATCGCCAACAAGGTGGGAAAGGCCACCTGCTATGCACATCTCTATGTTACAGGTAATTTTATCTTTGTTTTCAGCTTACATTTCTACAAGTACTCCACATAGTCTTCATCTATAGCACCCCGGTTTTATGAAAGCCAGTCCAGGCTTGGTACCTCAGCAGAGTACCAACAAACCAAACTGGACCTTCAGAACCCCCTGAGAACAACTGATCAAGGCCACATCAGACGCTATAGATCCATGCTAGTTTCCTTTATAGTCACAAGAATTTAAAGTATAGTCACTTAAATATTTATCGAATTTGGAGAATACATTTCTCCATCCAAGCCTTCCTCTTTCTGACAGGAAAGGTTGGACACGGTGGAAATGTTTGAATTCATTGGAAACATTTGCATGTATTTATTAATTTTGCATTGGTGGTGGGAAAGTCTGGAGTTTTGACATGAGTAATGCATGGGAACTCTTCATGCTTCCTCCAACACATTGTCATTCACAGATATTCTTCCTGATCCTCCTGATGGTACTCCAGTGATTGAGTCCATCACTGGAAAAACCATCACTTTGAGCTGGAAGAAACCCAGAAGGTTGGACCCTTCCATTGGTACGTAGGACCATTAAGGACATGACATCAGACCAGTGGACACAGATTCAACCCCTTGTCTTATGGTGTTGAATCTGGAGAAAATAGAGTTTCATCTTGATCTCTTCCAGATCCCAACTCCCTAATGTATGCCATCCAGCAGCAAGCACTTGGCTCCATCCAGTGGATCATAATCGCCTCTGGTCTGAAGGAAACCACTTACATCATCAGTACTCTCTCCAAAGGCGTCCGCTACGCATTCAGGGTCCTGACCATCACCTCCAAAGCCTTCAGCAAACCCTCCCCAGCCACCGATCCAGTCCAGCTCCTGGACAGAGGTAAAGTCCGGTCTGGTAATCCGTCAATAGACGATAGTGAGTTATTAAATGCTCTGTGTGGTTTTGTTTAAGGTCCGTACCTTCAGGAGGCTCCAGTGATCATTGATAAACCAGACATTGTGTATGTGATTGAAAACCAGTCAGTCACAATCTCCATCACTCTGAATCATGTCAACACTGCAGTCACCTGGAAGAGGTACCGACTTGATTCATCTACACTTTTTATGTTTAGATGAAAGGTCAGTCATTTATTCTTCCTGCATCCCAAAAATGCATGATTGCATTTTTGATAGATTGGAGAAAATTATTTGATACACCACAGATTTCTCAAGATTCTCCACTTCCAAACAATGGTATGTAATTTTCTTTAAAGGAACACCTCAACTGTGAGAGACAGAATTTAACAGAAGAATATCGTACGGCACTTTTTGTCACAACTCCACTAATGAACTGTTCTTTAGGAAAGCTTGTCTGCAAAGGTGGCAAGAAGATGCCCTTCATTGAGGAGAGGAAGGACAGGAAGTACAGGAAGGATAGGGCGATAACACCTATCCGCAACAACCACCTTCCTTCAATAAAGAATCTTCTCCATGGGCTTTGCTTTTATTCGTTCCACCTTTACGTGACTTGTCTCTATTGTCAGATCTTGTGTGATTCCTCCCCATTTGGAACCGCCTCAGTAGTGATACAAGCTATCACTAGCTGAATATTGCGCACAAGGAATTGGATTGGTAGCCGGCTGTATTCGTTGATTGGCCCAAATGAACGGACCAATGGTTAAGATACTCAAATAACATCTCAACCAATCCGCGACCAGACCTTTGGTGAAAAGGTTTAACTGAAAATCGATTATTCCATGGTCAGACCTTGAGGTCCAAACCTTTTTATCAACTATGGTAGACAAATGCCACAATTTGAGCTGGCTTTCCTCATCAACTGGACTGCCAATGGAGACACACCCAACCTGATTATAACCAAACCAACATTATCTGGCTACAGTGAGACTTGACAATGGAGAAAGGGCTTAAGAGCATTGAAGATGGGTCGCGGCTGGGTCTTCCAGCACGACAGTGACCTGAAACCAACAGCCAGGGCAACTATGGAGAAAGTATTTCATGCTCTAAAGTGGCCTAGCCAGCCTGGAGGCAATAGAAAGTTGCCCAGTGAAAACCCCAAACCCTGAAAGATGTTTGGAAACCTGGTCAAGAATTAGAGAACGCCTGACCTTTGTAATTATGAACAAAGGTTTCTGGATCAAATTTTTCTGTTTTCATTGTGTGAAATACCAAATTCATGCAATTAATTATTTCAGAAAAATCATGGAACAAAAGTTTCTATATTTCTGTCTCTCACAGTTGAGTTGTCATGAAAATGACAAACCTCTCCAGTCTTTGTAAGTGGGGAAGCTTATTTTGAGGTTCGAGTCTCTCAAACTGATGTAAAACCAACTTGTCTCCAGGAAAGGAGTGACTCTGACCAACAAGCCCGGCCTGTATGAGATGGCGATGCCAGACGACGACCAGCACACGCTGAAGCTGCTGAAGGTGAAGAGTTCGGACTTCGGTGAGATGACCTTTGTGGCCACCAATGAGTTTGGAAGCGACAGCTGCAGCTTCAGCGTGGAGACGGCCGGTAGGGAAGACGCTCCTCTGTCCGTCCATCCATCTGCAGGTTTTGTAACTGAAACTCTGTCCACAGCTCCGCCGACATTTGAGACGATCATGGAAGACCTGGACGTCTGTTCTGGGGAGACGCCTCGCTTTGCAGTGGTGGTGGAGGGCAAACCTGTCCCCGACATCCTCTGGTTCAAGGTGCTAATGCCAAGTTATCCATGGAAACTTTCCCTTTAGGGGATTTCTCGGAGTGTAAGGCAGGAAAGCTAAAATATGTAGCCACGGTGCTGCTTGATGTGCTATTGGTTGGTGTTTGATAGCAGCCAATTCAGAAGCACCGTTTGTTCTCCTTGGTGCTGATTGGCTGAGCACCAAAGAGCAAAAATAAGGAAAAGTGTAGACGTTAGCTTCTGCTGTAGCGCTAAGACGGTTTCCATATTAATGTGGATTAGGATATATTTGTTAAAATTAGCAATATTTAAGTCTCAAATATTTGCGTATTTCAGCTATTCATGAGCATTTCTGTTCCACTTTATAATGTAATTATTTATTTATTTGGAAAACAGAAACCTTGGTAGAGTGGTGGTAGCATCATGATGTTTAGTGATTTCTACACTGATTTATAACCATTTATGGATCTAAACTTTCAAAATGACACCAGAGAATCATAAACGAGCGACTGAAGATAAAGATTCACAAATCTTTGTCACTCTCAGCATCCTCCACAGTCATCGCCTCTCCCGGTAAAGATGTGCACAAAAGCCTTTAAATAAATGGTTGTTATGGAGACTTTGCTGCAGTTCTCCAACCGTCAGATGTTTTCGCCTCCGTTCCCGTCCTCCTCACTGTGCGTGGTGGAAGATAAACTTTGGTCCTCATCCAGCTTGGATTGTCTCACTTCCAGCTGGTTTCAACTTTTCGGTTATTCTTCTGACTGCAGACGTCGACAGATTTTGCAAAGCAACATTTTGAATTGAATATTTTGGATATGAGCCACAAAAACATCTATGACTGGAAGGCAGAGTCCGCTCGTCGCTCCAGGTCGGGATTTAAACCCAAGACCTTTATTTTTTTCTCGTTTTAATGAGTTTGCATATTTAAATGGGAACCTTTCCTCATTATAACGAGATACAAAACTAAATAATAAGTGATATGAAACTCTTCTAAATCAACACAAGATTTGTATCTGGTTAAAATGAGGAAACTTTCTCATTATAACGAGATGCAAAGCACATTAAAAGTAGAAAGTTTTGTGTTTTAATGAAATGAACAACATGTTGAAATGAGAAAGTTTTATATCTTGTTACTACAAGAAAGTTTCTTGTTTATCAAATGTAAAATACAGTCTGACAAATTACGACTTGTTAAAAATCCTAAGACGTGTTTCTGTTTTACTGTTGCAACCTTTCTTATTTAAGAGATAAAATGTTTTGTTTTTAATGTGATAGAAACTTGTTACAAGAAAATTTTTCAAATCTTGCTAAAACAACAAAGTTTTCTCATTTGATGAGCTCCTGCTGGACCACACTTTGGACATCCTTATTATTAATGTTTTAGCGAAAGATTATCCTGCAACAAAACAATGAGCAAAATGCCAGAAACCATCCAGAGATCAGAAACGACACTTTCCTCAGTAACAGTTCCAGCTTTTCTTTGGGATTCTGATCAAACGAGAGCTTTGACCTGCAGGGGGACGTCCTGCTGTCAGAGAGCAGTCACTACACCTTCGTCTATGATGACAACGAATGCTCCCTGGTGGTGCTGAACGCGCACCCTGAGGACTCCGGCGTGTACACCTGTACGGCCCGAAACCTGGCCGGATCCGTGTCCTGCAAAGCCGAACTCACCGTTCATCAGGGTAACGGCTCACACATGCAGCCATTAAATTAAATGAAGTTACTGTGTGCAGTGTTTCAGCCGTCGGTCTGTTCCTGCAGCTAAGAGGAAGGAGGAACCCATTGATGATGAGGAGAGTATCCTGAGGAAGATGCGCAGACTGACCGATTACTACGACGTCCTCAAGGAAATTGGAAGGTGAAGCGAGATTTTTTTAGAAATACTTCTGGATTTGTGAGAAGTTTTCGAGCTCTTGCTTTCTTTCACTACAGGGGAACGTTTTCCTACGTGAAGCGGGTGAAGCAGAAAGCCACCAAAACGGAGTACGCCGCAAAATTCATCTCGGCTCGAGCGAAAAGGAAGGCGTCGGCTCTGAGAGAGATGAGACTGCTGTCCAAGCTGGACCACGAGAGAGTCCTCTACTTCCATGACGCCTTTGAGAAGAAGAACGCAGTCGTCATCATCACAGAGATGTATCCTAAAAAACAGGAAAAGGTTTTCACAGATTATGCAACATGAGTCAGGTCTGCTGTGTGAAAACGCCTTAATTCATGTCTAAAGCTGCCATGAGGAGCTGCTGGACAGACTTAACAGGAAATCCACCATCCTGGAGTCTGATGTAAGGCCTGTGTTTCAGTAACAGATTCTAATTTTTGCTGAGAATCAGAACAGGATTGTTTTGCCCTTTAAAAACAAGAAGCCCTGCTGGTCGCATTGCAACATGAGCTAAAAACTCTCCTGATGCGACTCTTCAGCATTTATACGAGATGTCACGAAGCAAATTCCACCTATTTCTATGTAAATTACAAACATGATGACGGTGTGTGATTCTCAAAGGCCAGCGCTGTTTGTAAGACAAACAAAGTTCTTTTAGCATCTGGTAACTTCAACTTGGAAGAAGAAAAAGACAAAAATGTGACTTTAAGAGAGAAAAAATTTAATATGGTTAAACTTATTTTCAGCTAACATTGGAATTTCTCTTATCGACACATAAATAATCAAAACTGAGAATAAAATCCTTTTTTTTTGTTCAAAATGTAAAACTTACAGTTACAGTCAAATCCAGTAGATAGGACTCTATTTTCAGACATTATTAAACACGACTAATAAATTAGACTTTGGTAAGAAGCTATGACAGCTAGCCGCTACATGTTTAGCATTGAGATGCTATTTTAGGCTTGAAAGGCTTTGCTGATATTCTAACTTTTCTGCAGATTTTTTCAGCGTTCAGTCAGATCGGTCTTTGAAGCAGCTTTGTCGTCCGTCGTTGGACGGATGTCGCTTGTGCGTCAGGTTTATGGGTGTACCAGAAACGCACAAATACAAAGCTTTCAGCCAGAACTTTTGTATGTAATAAAAAATGTAATTAGTTGTACTAAAAATGTTCAAAACTAAGTAATTAATTAATCAAAGTTAGCATATTATGTAGAAATATTTCCTATTTAATCTGGACTCGATGCACCGACACGTCAATGCAGCTACTTGCTTTGTGAATCTGATGCACAGATGGATCACAATGGGAAGAAAATTCAGCGATCCTGTATTTTTCCCACTCAGTTTGTTTTGGTGCTTCTTTTGTGATCATTTTTATTCAGCTCATTAATCATGGAGCAGCTTTCTTTACAGTTTTAAGAAGAAAGTCAGAAGTGAATGAGCACAGAAAAAGAAAGAACCGGTTCTGCCCACTAAGCTGACATATAAAGTATAATTATGTGACAAATAGCAGCTGTTGTTGTTCAACAGGTGCGTTCATGTGTGCGACAACTGCTGGAGGGACTGGACTACCTTCACCATCTGAACATCATCCACCTGGACATAAAGGTAGAACCAGACAGCGTCGCCCTTCCCATTGCTATTTGGCATCATTTTACAGATGTGTTTCTTCCTGCAGACGATCATTTTGTGTGTGTGTTTTATTTCCAGCCCGATAACATCCTCATGGTGGATCACCAAAGCGATCAGATCCGTTTATGTGATTTCGGAAACGCCGTTGAGTTCACGCCTGATGAGGCTCAGTACTGCAAATACGGCACACCCGAATTTGTTGCACCAGAAATCGTCAACCAGACGCCTGTTTCAAAAGCCACCGATATATGGTAGACGTCCTGTAATGTAGAGCATTTTTAATGATCGTTGGACGGTTTTAAAGAAGCCTTTGCTTTATGTTCACAGGCCTGTCGGGGTTATATCATACCTGTGGTGAGTAAAACCTAAATTAGGTTTTAATTTCTGCCTTTCTCCTCCTGAGTTTCTGTATTTATTGAATTTTCCTCTGTTGGCAGCCTGACTGGAATCTCCCCGTTTGCCGGGGAAAGCGACCGGAGCTCCGTCCTGAACATCAGGAACTACAACGTGGCTTTTGAAGAGAACATGTTTGCTGATCTTTGCCGAGAGGCTAAAGGGTTTATCATCAAGCTGCTGGTAGCGGACAGGCTGTGAGTAACTAGTATAAGAAATATTTGTCTCATTAGCATATGTCTGTGCTTAACGCGTCAGCAGATTAGTGGAAGTGCGCCTATCACTCCATGTATGTTTGCTATTTTCAAGAAATAGACAAGATATTTTCAGCAAACTTACTGATTCATTAAAAAAATATTGTGAAAATAAATGCAATTCCCCTGTAGAAACTGTAAAAGCGTCTATCAACAATAGAGCCAAAGTGTTTTAGGATCTCAAACTAATAGTGGGTCCAAACAAAAGCTGTTCAAGATCAAATCCCCCAAAAAAACTGTCAAGTGCAAATTTAGTTACTAATTTGCCCACCACTGATTATCACAACTTGGATTAATAATGTTAATTCCTCCATTTAGCACCAAACTGATCTGAGTCATGCTGAACAAAGTTCTTTTGTTTTTCATTCTGTACATTTTTATACATAATCTAACTGATTTACTTTGAAATCTTTGTTGTTGTTGTTTTTTTGTAAATAGTGGTTTACATAGATAAATTCTGAACTGTCCTGCTAGTTTCCCAAATGCCACTAAACCAAAATATAATGTCAGGCAAAGAAAACAGATTTGAAACTGTGAATCATTGCATTTGCCATAACTTTGTGTAATTTGTTTCTAGGAGACCCGATACCCAGGAGTGTCTTCGACATCCGTGGTTCAAGGTGAGAAAAGTCAATGATCCATCCTTTGAGTTCCACGTGACATTATAAAGATGGCCTTCTTAAATAATTACTTTCGAATACTGTCAATGCCATATGCAGATACTAAGCAAGGGGAAGGCCATCAGTACAGAAGGTCTGAAGAAGTTTGCTGCTCGCAGAAAATGGCAGGTAAAGAAGGTTATTTTCAATTCTTATGATGAATTTCCTGCAGACGTTGATTTGTAGTTGTAACATTTTGTTGCTTATTTTTCAGCGTTCCATAATTGGCTATAAATCAAAAATGGTCATGAGATCCATACCAGAGCTGCTGAACGATTCCTCGAGCCACACCTCGATTGCCGTCCAGAGGCACCAGAAAGAAGGCTCGCCCCTGCCATCTTCATCGTCTGATTCAGACGAAGACATTGATGAACTGCCTTTTATTCCAATGCCTCTCAACATGGACTTCTCTGGATCACGAATGTCACTGAATGACATTCAGACCAATGAGCAGGAATCAGGAAAGGAGAATGAAACAAGTCTATCTTCCCAAAGTCTGGAGGCCATGGAGTTTGACTCTCAGGAGCAGGAAAGAGTAAGAGGCGAGGCCAGGGGGAAAGGCCGTCTTCGAAAACGATCATCGGAAGACAACGACAGGGGTTTCTCAGAGGAATCACCTCTGAGTGAACTGATCCAAAAGTCAGAACAATCCAGAAAACCCCTTAGAAGAGGATCAAGCATGGAGTCTGACAAGGTGGAAGGAGGCCGGAAAAGAGGGGAACTACGGCGTGGTGGTTCGGCTGACAGTGCTTTGCTGCTTCGGATTACACCCGAGGAAGGAGCGGGAGAAGAAAACCCCGAGGAAGGACGGAGAGTCCTAAAGAAAGCTGTCTCCATGGAACTACCGAGGAGGAGCACCAGCCCTGGAACCGCAAAGATGAGTCAGGAAGACTATGCTCTGAAACTGGAGCTAATGAGGCAGCGACTGCTTCGTGGTGGTTCTGTAGACAACAAGATGAGTGGCCTGAGAGGACCTCTTTTAGAAACATTAGGGATGGGAGACGAAAAGCGAGCAATACCTTCAGATCGCTACTCTCGCACTGCTCGTCTGGGCCCACCTCCCCTTACCAGAGCTGCATCCAGTGACTTTCCAAGGGACGAGGTGCCTAAACCTAAAGTTCTACGTAAAAGCACTTCTTTCAGTCAAGGGGATTCAGAACCTATAGCTTTACATCGACGATCAGGAGCACCTTTGGAGATTCCTGTCGCACAAGTAGAAGAAAGGCGGCTTAAAGAAGCAATTTCCATGTCGGCTCTAACGGAGCAAACCAAGCTAGACTCCCGTCCAGAGACTCCCAGGGAATCTTCCCCAAAACCACCGACTCCAGAGCCAGTTGTGCAAGAAAATCAATCCAAAACAGAGAGTCAGGATTCATTGATGGAGAAAGATGTTCGAACAGATGAGACTGTGAGTGAAAAGATGGATGGACTGACTGCAGACAGTAATTTTGATGAAAGATCTAGCACAAGTGGATTCTCAGAGAAGGACATGAGTATTTCAGAGGAACCATTGACTGAAGGAGATAACATGGGCCAGAGTATTCACACACCTTCTGACATGGCCCAAAGCTCTTTAGCAGAAGAGAAAATGCAAGAGGAGAAAGAGAGCGAAAAGGTGTACAAAGAAAAACGAGACTTGGTAAAAAAAGATGACGAAAGAGTTGACTATGCAGTTGAGTCAAAAGCTAAAGAAAATGCAGACGAGAAGACAAGTACTCCAATAACATCTTCTGAGATGATCATAAGCACAAGTTCGGTTATGGTGAAACCAACACAAGAACCTTACCAGCCCCCAGCCGCTGTTGCTTCAACATATATAACACCCTCACCTCCTACCCGAGTTGTTCTTCCAGATGGAAGAGTGTCAGCTTATGCCAGCATAATGCAGACCATCATGGTGCCTTCCCTTCAGCCTCTGAATGAGGCGCCCCTTTCCCCTTCCACTCCAGTTGTTCCAACCAATACTGGCACATCATCTGACTTACTCATTTCACCTAAGCCAATCATGTCAACCACCGAGCACCCTGCAGTCTACTCTAGAGTCGCATCGCCGGAAATGATCACAAAAGAACCCAGTCCGCCGAAGACCTATTCACAAACGTCACCCCAGCAAGACGTCTCAGCCGGCCCTGACTTAGAAGATATGACCTCTGAAGAGGTTTTTGAGGCCCGCTTCAAAAAACGTGAGTCTTCCCTCACAAGGAGTCTGAAGTTTCTCTCGAGATCAAAGAATGAAGACAGTACACCGGCCATCCAGGCAACATCAGACACATCTGAAGAAATATACAGACCTGGGCCGATTGGCGCTCCCTTACAGTTAGCCTCAAGAAGGCTTGAGGAAAAGTCCAAGTCAGTCCAAGATCTTCGTGAAGCTCAAAAGGATCAAGGGTTCATGAGGAGACTCTCTATGCGCTTGAAGAGAACTCCATCGACAGAGCGCACAGATGAAGTACCGAAAGACGACGACTCAGCAAGTTTAAGACAAAGGCTGTCTTGGAGTCTTGGCAGACGAGGTTCTCAGGAAAGGAAAGAGGTAGAGATGACCAGGATGGATGGAGAAGGGGATAAGCCAGTGGATGAAAAGGAGCTGAAGAAACCTAATGAATCACCAGTGTTGGCGATGCGCAGAAAGATTGAATCAACCGTGGCAGGGATCTCCACAAGAATTCGAAGTTACTCAGAAGAGAGACGAGCCTCAGAAGACAAGGAAACAAAACGAGCACCAATTCTTTCTATGCTTCGTAGATCGACATCAGAGAGTCGAGCGATGAAACCTATCATTGTTCCTCAGAACCAACTGGCGTCTCAGGTCACTAATGGCGCCTCATCCGAGTCTCTTGACTCGATGTCCAGCCTAAAGTCAGACACATCCAAGGGTATGGCGTCTTGATGTATTTATTACATTGAAAAAAGTCAATCACCGCTAATGTTTGTTCTTTTATTTTTGTATTATAGGTATTGAAGTTGAGCGGAGATCCAGATGGGATCGATGGGGCTTGACAAGAGGCAAACGAGACAAAACAATATCACAGCCTGACTTACCAACAGCCATCTCCCGAGACAACAGTTCCTTACGTTCACGGCAGTACTCCAAATTAGCTTCAGGTAAAATGATGCTGCTGTGTCCTCAAATCAAAACGTTCCTCTCCTCAAAGTTTAATGGCTTTTTTTTCTCCTAGGTTGGTCTTTATTGTGTCTGAATAGACTGAACCACAACGGTTACTGCTAGCATGTTACATCATATTCAAGGTTATATTTAAAAGTGATCTATTATGCTTCCTTGAACAGGTTTATGGGCTATACAAAACAAGTTCATTACATTTTTTACACAAAACAATTTTTAGACACAGAGATTTTAGCTGTTTTTGGGCATCTTGTCGCTTTAAATCCTAATAATCTGCTGCTGGCCACGCCTCCCCCCTCATTGTTTACACTTGTTCTTAAAAACAGGTGCGCAATTATACAAATGTACATCTTTGAAAAGCAGAAGTGGAGTCGTCTGCACAACCAACAAGAATGCAGCAGGTGTTTTCTGGATGGTAAATAATCAGCAAAACATTTGTTTTTCCAGCAGCCATTGTACAGCGCATACAGTGGTGAAACCAGCAGACCAAATTTGCTGGAGCTTTTCTTCGGTTGCTAGGTGACAGGGGGAGCTTGGCTGGGGTTGCTTGGTAACAGCGCTGATTTCATTGAATATAATTCAATGAAATTGATTTACATTTCATTTCATTTCAGTGTGTAGAAAATTGCTCATTTTCTACACACTGAAAGGCTGTTAACTTATTGCCAAGAAGCAGCAAATGTACTTCATAAAGTACTTTTGCTGGTTTTTGAAGTAGTTGAGATTCAAATGGATGTATAAAAACTATAGGTCCTCTTTAATGGCGGTTTCCTTCATTCTGGGCCAGATTTTCCTCCTGTTTTCCATATCAAGCTCAGAGATCATGTCCTCCTGGAGGGTGACCCAGTAACCCTGAGCTGTCTGCCAGCTGGAAGCCCCCATCCACACATCGCCTGGGTAAAAGGTAAGGCTACAAATATACACTGAAATGTTTTGATATATTTATGATATATTTGACATTTTCCTCCTCAGACAAGAAGCCTTTAGAAATCGATGCTAGAATGAACATGATTTCCTGCCCTGATGGCCGACAGCTGCTGATGATCATGCAAACCACCAAAAAAGATGCTGGGGTGTACGAGTGTGTTGCTACGAACCCCCTGGCCGCCGTGTCCAGCTCTTGCACTATATCCCTCGCTCGTAAGAAATACTAAACATTCTAGTTGGAATACCATTGTTTGATATCATAAGAATATATGTGTATATGACACATTGGATGTCTTACAGGCCTGCCTAATCGTCCTGGGACCCCAGAGATTCCTCAGAAATATAACAACACAGCGTTAGTGGTGTGGCGTCCCTCGGACAATATGGCCCCCTGCACCTACTCTCTGGAGAGGAGAGCAGAAGGTTCCTGACCCACATCATTTTAACTTTTATGAAGTTTATTCAGTCTAGAAAGAACAAATACAGTCAACATGACTGTTAGCCTGGAACAATATATGGAAAAAATACTGGAGATTTAAATGACTTCTTGTCCAACTTCTGGTAGCCGCTAGCTGTACTGAAGTGCTACATGTATGTTGTTATAGTGTCATTCACTATAGCAGTGCCACTATAGCATGGTTTATTATTATGAAATAATAAACCATGTCAAACTGGTACTTTTCTAAGTTTAGAGATTGTATGTAGTGGTGGGTGCTGCTAAGTAATAAGCTAGCTGTGCTAACGCTAAAGTAGAACCCATAAACATTAGTTTTGCTAATGCTAATGCGCTTTAACAACATGGTATTTAGTGGAAGCTACTGCTAAAGTGCTAAAATCAACCATAGATGTCAAACTTTATTCCCCTGAAAGTTTACAAAATAGGTAATAAGTTATTGCTTTGGAGTTTATCTGGAAAATAACATTTCAGGGAAGCTAAGTACACCAAATGTTTACAAAGTTGACAAAAATGCTAGTGTGCTAAACACTATTAGCACATTATTAGCAGATTAGCACCACTGCATGTCTGTTTGCCTTTTCCAGATTTTTCAAGAAATATTTTTGCCAGATATTCTCAACAACCTAACTGAATAATTAATCCAAAAGTTTTTCAAGTTTAAATGCAAAGAAAAATCAACCAGTTATATATATATATAGTTATATATATATATATATATATATATAGTTATATATAGTTATATAGTTATATTGATACATACAACTCCATCTTCATTCAATATGGTACCAAAATATATGTGTGGAGTATTTTAAAGTTATTTAAATGGTCCCTTGCCTCCTTGTTCAGGTGAAAGCAACTGGCTGATAGTTGCAACCGGAGTGGCAGATTGTTACTACAATGTGACTGACCTGCCAGCAGGGGGCGCCTTCAGGTTCAGAGTGGCTTGTGTCAACAAAGCCGGTCAGGGCCCCTACAGCAACCTGTCAGAAGTTGTGACTCTGGATCCCACTGGTACGTTACCTTATCGGTGTCTCTTATTACCCTGATTTATGGAAATGTTTTTACTTTTACAGGGTTGAATGTGTTTCTTTGCAAAGCCACACCCTCCATTGTAACTTGTCTTCATTAGAACCAGCCAAGTCCAGTTCTTCTGTGGTGGTGAAGACCGTTCCTGCCACAAGTCCGACACCCCCTGTGGTCATGATGTCGTCCATGAAAGTGCCTCCCATTAAACCAGCTCCCAGTAAATCCACTGCTGTGACCACAGTCCCATCTCCTGCATCTTCGGTGGCTAAATCTCCCTCTCCTGTAGCCATGAAGCCAGCTGTTGGCCATCCTGCAGGAACTGAACCCGCCTCAGCTGACCAGGCGCCAGTCACACCTCCGAAAGCCAAGACCTCCATCAGCATCAGCGTCAGCAAACCTCAGGCCAAGCTGATGCCTCCCCCTGTTGTTCCACCCAAACCCCAGAGTCCTGTTCTCCCCTCAACGACCAACAAGCCACCTTCTCCGGTACCAACGTCTGCTCCTCCGATCGGGAAGCCGATTTCCTCCGTGCCAATGTATGTTCCCACAGCAACAGCTCGTTCTACGCCTCCTTCTCAAGTTGCTCCCACCCCGGCGACAACGGCGCCCTCCGCCACTCCGCTCGCGCTTTCCCCTCCCGTCGTGATAGTGCAGAGCCTGACGCCGGTTCTGCAGGGAGGGGACAGTCGCGGTACTCCAAGTGGACGGATCACCCCGTCTGGACGCCTCACACCGTCTGGACGCAGGACGCCGCTGGCCAAGGCAGGCGAGGGATCCTTACGCCAGGGCGTCCCGCAGAAACCTTACACCTTCATGGACGAGAAAGCAAGGTGAGGTAGCCAACATTATCAAGCACTTTTGGATCCTTCTTGTTTATTCTAGGAGTGGGAATCGTTTACCAACTCACAATTCAATCTAAAATTGATGTTTGCACTGCAAAAACGAAAAAGTATTTTTGGTCCAGTTTCTAGTGGAAATATCTTAATACATTTAAACAAGATAAAACTAATTTACAAGTAACTTTTCAGTAAGATTTAGAGACTTGTTTTTCAATATAATTCCTTAATATTGATAAAAAATGTACAGATTATTTCACTTGTGACGTTTTCCCATGTTAAAGTGCAATGAGTTGCTTGAAGGATGTTCAAGAGACCACTTTCCAGTCATGTAATAATAATTAATAATAATAATAATACTCTCTCAAAGTTCTAATGAACATTTATCACTGGAACTGGAAGAAACATAAAACTAACAATGACAGACTTTGAATATAAATTCAAAATTTCAACAATTCGATATGAATTCATTCTCCATTAAAAAATTTTAAGGTTCTTTTTAAAATTGATCTGATCAGTGATCAATGTAATTTCATAAGGTAACATATTCCAAACAGATTAATAATAATGTCTAGTGGAGACCAAAACACCAGACTGGAGACTTTTATCATCCAGTTTTTAATACAAAGAAATGATAAATAATGCAAATTGAGTTTGTTTTCATTTTCCCTGCTGTTGATTGATTTATTGCTTATTGCATCATGTCTATCCACCAAACGAAACTATTAAAATCCCCTTTTGCACCATCGTACCTCCCCGCTGTGAACGCGTGCCGATGCTTCCTTCCCCCTCAGAGGCCGGTTCGGTGTGATCCGGGAGTGTCGAGAGAACGCCACAGGAAACCTCTTCATGGCGAAGATCGTTCCCTACGAGGCGGACACCAAGCAGGCGGTGCTGCAGGAGTACGACATCCTCAAGTCCCTCCACCACGACCGGATCATGGCGCTGCACGAGGCCTACGTCACGCCGCGCTACCTGGTGCTCATCTCTGAGTACTGCAGCGGGAGGGAGTTGCTCTACAGCCTCATAGAAAGGTCCAGAACCCAATCCTGATCCAGCCTGATGCTTCCTAAAACGCAGGGGTTAAACTCGAGGCCCACAGGCCGAATCGGGCCCATCACAACTATTTATGTGGCCCTGGAGTCTCTAGAGCGGGGTGTCAAAACTCTCTATCACATGGGCCACAAAAAAAAAAGAACAAAAACTAAAATCAAGACAAATAAAGTAGCAAAATGCTTTTGTTTTTTGTAGGAAAGGGAGGTTGTTCATTATAGATCATAAACATAAATAAGATTTTTCAGGTTTGCTATATTTAAAAATATGCAACTTGTTTTCAAATTCTTTTGGCCGTTATATAACAAATTTATTCTCATTTATAAGAACAGAATTTAGCGAAACTTTCTTTTAAAACACTTGGTATATTTAGCCAAATTCAGTAAATTAAATGAACGTGAATTTTGGTGCATAAGGTAAGTAAAAATCTCTGATAAATGTGGCTCTAATTATCATAAAAGATTAGTTATTTTGTTGTACCTAACTTTTTCCATTATAAGAAAATGATGTTGGTAATAATTTCATCCTGACTTAAAAATAAAAATCAGTTTGGAGAAGCCAAATTTCTATCATTCTCAAACTGGTTTTGGGGGCCACACAAACTCAGTCCCAGGGCCACAAATGGCCCTCAGGCCACATTTTGGACTCCCCTGCTTCAGAGGATTGTAAAATCAAATCAGTTTCTTGCATTGTGTCAAATTACACAATGAAAATATGTTAAATAATTAAATTTAAGAAATACTGATCATATGTGGAGAAAGCTATAAGATTTATCAAAACATTTGGTCATAACCCTGCAGGATATTTAATATGTAAAGTATAAAAGTGAGTTTGACACCACGGATCGTTCTCTGGTTCCTTCCAGGTTCCGTTACTCTGAGGATGACGTGGTGACGTACATCGTCCAGATGCTGCAGGGTCTGGACTACCTTCACGCGCGCCGCATTCTGCACCTGGACATCAAGCCAGAGAACATCGTCGTGACGCACATGAACCTCATCAAGATCATCGACTTTGGCAGCGCTCAGACGTACAACCCTCTGTTCCTCAAGCAGTTCAGCCCTCCGATCGGAACGCTGGACTACATGTGTAAGAGGAACATTTACTCTTTCTCTGCAGGACACTGGAGATTACCTTGAGCTACTATTTTCAGACTGGCTTTAGATTCTAAAAGAAAGAGATTTTTTTACTTTGAATCATTTGTTGGTCTTTCCATGTTCAGGTTTTACACTTTCTCAACTAGAAAGAAACAAAAAAAAAAGAGTTTAATTAGGGATGCAAATTATTGATTGAGTTATTCCAAAGTTGATGAATCTTGTGCTTTATGTCTTCCGTTTTCCAAATTAGTAAAACAAAATGCATAAAGTGCATTTTGTATCAAACTGTTTGGACCGCTTCTCTTTCCTGTTCTAGAATTGGCCGCCATCTTTATTTCTGTATCAATTGATTCAGCTTAAGATGGCCAACAGTGCCCTCTACTGGATGCTGGCCAAACTACAAGACCAAAAGAAAGTCTAAGAGGATGTTATTAGTTAATCGATTTAAACTAGTTTTAATAATAAAACATTAATTATAAATCATGATTAAGATTTTTGAAAGACCTTCCGAAAACCATTAAGACAATAAAATAAACTTTTAAAACTATCTCTTGGAAGAAAAGTATGAATAAAGAAGAGGTGGTTTGTGAAATATTAAAAATAATAAAACAAAGCTGGTCTATGACCAGACTGCAAATCACAGATGAACTTCCTTACAGTCTGTAGCTGTTTTATGAAACAGTGTTTTTCAAAGAGGGGGCCGGGTGGCCACCAGGGGGCGCAAATTGGACCTCAGCTTTTTGAAAAAGCTGGTAATAAGGTAATAATTATTGAATAGTGAATAAAAATGAGAAAAAAACATTCTAAACAGGTGCAATCAACTTACAGTACAATTACTAAGAATAAACAGTTTGTTTCATTGTAGTTTATTTCGGTTTATTTCTATTTCTTCTCCCTCAGCGCCGGAGATGTTGAAGGGAGACGTTGTGGGTCCTCCGGCTGACATCTGGAGCGTGGGTGTGTTGACTTTCATCATGTAAGTAATAATTTCACAGCTTCCTCCTGACAAACCGTGTTTACATTGAAGTGCATTCCTCACATGCAAAGCAGAATCCTGATTTTGATTTCCAGCCTGGTGAATGCTGCAGTAGTGAACAGACTCAGACTCTGTTCACACAGCAGGTCGTGATACTCAGTGGGTTCATCTTGGTTTTCCAGGTTGAGCGGCAGGTTGCCTTTCATGGAAAATGATCCTCAGGAGACTGAAGCCAAGATCCTGGCCGCCAAGTTTGACCTCTCCAAACTCTACCAGAATGTGTCCCAAAGTGCCTCCTTGTTCCTGAAGAAGATCCTCTGTAGCTACCCCTGGTAAGAGGAACGCTGCATTAGCTAGTTTCAGAAAGCTAACCCAGTGAATTTTTACACGTTGTTTCCTCACCAGGGCCCGTCCGTCCATCAAGGACTGCTTCAGTAACTCCTGGCTTCAAGATGCCTACCTGATGCGGCTCCGCAGGCAGACGCTCACCTTTACAACCACGCGTCTCAAGGAGTTCCTGGCCGACCAGCAGCGGCGGCGGCAGGAAGTCGCCACCAAGCACAAGGTGCTGCTGCGGTCCTACTCCAGTTCGCCACAAACGCCCACCAGCCCCAGCGCGCCGACTGTGCCCGTGTCAGCCTCCACACCTGTGACTCAGTGAAAACAGGCTTCCAGACATCAGCTGGCAGGACGCGGCGTGCCGCACACCACTTCCTGGTTCCCAACAGGAAGCTGAGAAACTTCCTTCACCGCTAAGGGAACTCTGGGTAAACCTGAAGGAAGCGGTATGAACATCGTCATACAGAAGAGGAGGACGCTGTCTTCAAACTATACCTCAAAGTTTGCAACTTTTACATTCGTTTTGAATTGAATCCTTCTTTTCGTACCTCTAAGTTTACGACGATGAGAGAATCACGTTGCAGGAGCCTGAAGCGGAAGGCTTCACGCTGTAATTAGTCAGTGTAAATAAAACGCTCTCCTCCAAACTGAGGAACACATATCGTTCAACAAAATCCTTATTTAGATTAGGGCTGGGCAATATGGCTGAAAAACATATCACAATATAGGCGTTTCATATCAGTCAATATTGATAACTATTGATTAGTTTTTTTGTTTTGAATACTGCCAAACTGGTGGCGTGACCGTTCTGGTTTACCCAGTTTCCTCTCTGCTCCGTTCTTTAGTTTCAGGCACTTATTGGACACGATGGGGGAACTTCAACCTGCTGCTGGCTTCGTTACCCAGCAGGCTGTTGCGAGGTAACTAGAGAGAGCTGATGAGTTGGTTGATTCCACCAGCTTTGTTAAGCTAGTCTGGAGAGGTTGAACAGCTAAAGTCTTTCCTCTGCCTACATCCCCCAGAATGCCGTGCGGTTCTGGATCGGACTTCAGTGAAATTACTGAACATTCTATCTATTGATATTGATCACATGTCTATTGCAATATATATTGTTATTTATTTATTGTCCAGCCCTATAGAAAGGAACACAGTTTATGTTGCTTCTGTTTCCCAGATCAACAGTGGTTAACGCTGTTCTCGAACGCCTCAGCTGTGCTACGCATGCGCCGATATCGCCGTAGCAGCTCAGTGAAGGTCAGGAATGTAGCATTTCAAGAATGAACGACTTCCTGTTTTGATTGTTTTGTTTCATGTCTTCAGTTCAGAAGTCACATCAATGGCTTCCATACAAGGGCTACAAGGAAAGAATCTGAACATCTGCTCATCATACACAGGAAAAAAGCGACGACTGAGTCACTTTTTTAAATGTTGTGATACAGTTACTATCTTTACTCTTCCATATAAAACTAATTTTCTTCTAGCAGGGATGTTAACAGCAGAAGTGTTTCTCTAACGGCAGGTACGGAGGACAGCAACCTTTAGCATACAACTAAAAATGACAGCACCTTTCTACACAAATATTAGCATATTAATTTTCAGTCTCAGTCATATCTAGTTAGTGAATCCTAAGGTCTTAAACAACATTATGAACTAATTTAGTATTCAGAACAGTAAATAACTGCCTGAAGTTCTCATATTGCAAAAAACGGTTTCTAAACTGCTACTTTTCTAACTTCCTGTCGCACCCAGCCATGCTGCAGTACTAATACTTGGAACATAATAAGCTAATACTTAGAAAACAAACAGACCTGAAAGTTTTTGGTTTCTTTGAAGCAAAGTCTCATAGGAGTTTTTAAATGCTAGTTTTTTAGCTTTCTGTAGCAGCTAGCTACACTACAGTTACAACATGATAGTTAAATTCAGTCAAACTTTGAAAATAAATTCTGGCTTTTCTATTTTTACAAGTTAAAATGTATTAAAGAGATCATCAGTAATGAGGCTAGGCTAGCAGTGGTGCAATGCTAAACTCAGTCACCTACTTTTCAAACTTCCTGAAGTCAGTAGCTGTGCTGTTGTGCTAACATCAGATTGAAGAGTCAAGAAGAAAGTCAGTTTGTTATATTATTCCCTTAATGTGTCACACCAATTAGAATTTTGCTAGCATTATTTCCCATGAAACAAAAACATTTTCTTCCTTCACAGTTTTCTGCTGTTCAGTAGCTAACCCCTTAGCTACTGAACAGCAGTAGCTAAGGGGTTAGCTAGCTGTTTCCAGTTTTAAATCCTACAGCCTTACAAAGAAAACTAGCCACCCAAAGACTTCCAGTCAGATAAGTGTGACGTATTTAATCCAGAGGTAATTGCACTTTTTTTTTACAAGCTAAATATAGTTTTCACTATACATTTTGCTCAAACAGGCTCCAGCTCACTGTTAATTTGAGCAGGACTAAAGAAATACCATAAATGAATAACTGGATTAGAGTTATTGCAGAGAGTTCAAGAATTTAATCTGAATTACTTTATAAACCTCTAAATACCCCCAAAGAGCAGCAGCTAGCATGTAAAGGTTACAGAAATTCTTGTTTTAGCTAATGCTGTTTTTGTCATTTTCTTTTTGTACAATATTGTTTCTTAAAGGCACAAGTCTTTTGGCATTGTTAATTATTTACAACATACTGTAAACTGAATGTCAGAATCAGACACTCAAACATTTCAGCACATTAACAGCTTCAGATTCTTGTCATTTTTTCATAGATAAACGGTTCAGCTGGTTTAGTTTTATGTACAGTGAACCCTGCCTAGGTTCAGGTTTGTGGGAAAATGTGATCATTTACATTTTTTTTTCCATAAATGCACCTTGAGAAGCTATTGGCTGGTGTTTACAAAGCAGCCAATCTGGAAGTGCCATTTTCTTTCCTTGGCACTGATTGGCTGTAACCCCAAGACAGGAACTAAGGAAGACTGTGAATGTTAGCTTGTTCCCACTTTGGGTATTGATTAATATTAAGGTATGTTTTGTGTTTGAACTATTAAAGTTGGCAGTTTTTTTAAGTTATTGCAGATTTTAGCTGTTGGCTGTGGTCACTAGCCTCCACAGGGTTCACTGTATCTTTCCTTTCTATCTGGTCACGTTTGATTTTAAAAGCAGCAGATATAACATTTTTATATGGAAGCACATTTTAAAGTAACTTAAGAAAAATAAGAAGTCATTTCAAGAAGTCACCAGTTATATATTTATATGTTTACATCTGACAATGCTGCTGATTTTTCTGTGAAATTCTTTCACAGGTTTATTTATTCTGTTTGGTTTGGCCGACTGATTCTTCCCCTCTTCTATGTTTGCATTGCAGTCATTTTTCTATGCAGAAAACTTCAACCTGAATGAAAACATGGGCATGCAAGTGCAGAACAAAGTGTTGTGCAGAATGAGAACCCAATTCCTCAATGACGAAATGAAGTGACAGGGTTTCGGCACGTTTTGTAGAATAATCAGAAGATATTTTGTTGCAGTGCCTCGTGATGAAGTGTAGACCTAGAGGGTAAAAATAATGTAGTTTAAAGGATGACTTGTTTATTTTTAATGTGAGCGCTTTGTGTGTGCGTGTGTGTGTTTTGGCTAAAATTGTTCACTTCTTGAGCGACTGTGTTTGTCACTACGGCTTCAGCTTTTTATTTGTGAAATCTTCTGAGTCTGGCATGGAAATGGCATGACAGGTGTTACAGTTATGAAAAATAAAGGAAACATAATTAAATAAGAATTTGTGGTGGCATTTTGTTTGGGTAAATGCTATGCGAGGCGCTGCGCACTACATGACACGATGAAATGATCAGAGCTTCTTCTCAAATTGATCTGAAAGATCCACATTTCAACATAAACACCAGGATACTAAAAACTCACAGCTAAAACAAACATAGTCATATCAGGGAGGAGCTTCAATGTGCAGCATTTTTTAATCTACACTCATACAATGGTGTATTAGGGCTGTTGTAGATAGAAAAAAGCAAAAATTTTGTGACAAAAAACTCAATAATTTGGAGATCAATCTTAAAGGTCTTCTGGGAAAAACATGAAAGTTTATTAGTTTAAAAGCCTGAAATTTTTGACTTGTGAAAGTCAGAAAATTTCAAAAAGTAAAACATTTTTTGACCTGAAATGTGTGTTTTCTCAAGAAAATTTGTGACTAATCAGAAATTTTCTAGCAAAAACTTGAACATTTCAAAAGTTTCAAGTGTGCCAGAACAAACTAAGAAAGTAATAGATTAATCTCAGAAATGTCTATTGTTCATTCTTGCATATTTTTGACTTTTGAAACTCAGAAATTTTCTAGAAAAATACTAATGTAAAAAAAAATCTGTTTTATTTCTGACAATTTTTACACTTTTGAAACTCAGAAATGTCCACGTTTTTCTGGAACATTTCTGAGATTAATCTTAACATTTAAAATGTCTGAGTTTCAAAAGTCTAAAATTTTTAAGTCTTGGAATTCAGTGGAACATTTTAGACTTTTAAAAATTCCAGATTTTTTTCTAGAGAATTCGAGATTAAACTTGAAATTTCTATTTGTAATTACATTTTTATTTTCCCCATCTCAAAATGTCAGTTTCTTTCTCATAAATGTTCAACTTGAGTAGCTTTAGTAGCTTTCTTGAAAATTTCTGAGATTGATCTACATTCTTTTTTCTTGTAAATGTTTCACTTTTGTAGCTCAGGAATTTCCTAGTTTCTCTAGAACATTTCTGAGATTAATCTCACACTTTATAAATTTAGTGGCAGAAATGTCCTCTGTTTCCTTGTCCGCAGTGGCCCCAACAAGCTTTAATTTGCATCTCTCCGTTTGAAACATGAATGAAACGTTAACTGAAAAAACACAAACTGTAAAGCAGGATTTAGTCACCAGATGGCGCTGTGGTTCAGCCGACAGCTGAATACCAAACATGGCCGCCGTCCTGCGGTGATTAGCCAAAACCCATTTTAGCAAAACATCTCAACATATTTAACATTAACGCGATAAGACACTGTGCTTTCCGTGTTTTATGGTGAACTCGTTCAGATTAAAACAATGTCCGGAGGCAGAAAGTGAGTCATGGAGCCGCTTGGAGGTCCAGTTCGGCTAAAATAGCCCGTTACGGTGCGAGGCGGAAATGCTGTTAGCTCATTATCGGTCACTGAGAGCGTCAGGCGGAACGTGTGAGGTTCGTGGCAGCAGAACTTCGCTTCTTGCTTTTCTGCTACCTACTTAAAGTCCGTGTGGAGATGATTTAGAGACACATGGAAAATAAGCCGCGTTTGTCGGTGAGCGGCCAATAATAATGGAACATATGTCAGCTGAAAGGCATCTGAAACCTTCTTCCCTCTTTCATATATAAAGACCTTAGACGGGATCAATAACATCCAGATACAGAAACTAATGCCTGATCTAGTAAAGCCATGTTTCAGTTCTTAGTGCCATTAACTGGAGGAAGTGCGGACTCGGATCGGGTTTCCAGGCTATTTTAGCTGCAGGCAGCAGGACACACTTCAGACTTTGGTCCAAACAAAAAGATTAAAAACTTTTACCTGCTCAATAATAAACAAAGAAGTTACACATTTAGTAAGAATAGGGGTGCAAAGGTTAAAAAGGATTTTGCACATTTGCCGTATTAAAAGAAATGCATCTCGTTTGCAACATTTTTATTTTGGGGGGGGAGGAGGAACATATAAAAACTGGATTTTTGTCACTTATTTGATCAGTTTTGGAGTGAAGCTGAAAGCCCGGTGACAGATTCCAGCTAACATCCTGAGAGGTTCGGTCTGGTTTATGACATATTAAAAATGATTTTACTGTTTCAAATCAAATCAAATTTTATTTGTATAGCACATTTCAGCAGCAAGGCATTTCAAAGTGCTTTACACCGTTTGTCCCTTTAATACGTCATTTTGTTTCTGAGATGTTATCTGATGATGTCACCACGCCCCCAACGTAGAAAACGCTTTGAAAAAGAAAAAAATAGCAAGAGAAGGAAGTGGACCACAAACACGGAAGTCGCATTTCGCTCTTGCGGATGTGACGTCAGACTGACGGCATATTTGAAGGCGTACTTCAAATATGGCGCAGTTTGTTTTAAAACTGATGCTGCTTTCTGTAGTGGTCTGGTATTAATCCATTCTGGATCCCGGATTTAAAATGATCTCTTCTGATCTCCAAGACGTCCATCCTGAATAACTCAAAGCTTTTGAAGACTGTAATTGTGTCGGTGTTGACCCGGCCTGCTAGCTTGGCGCTGGCTGAGATGGGCCAGTGTGGGCCAGGAAGCCGCGGCGCCTTGTCTGAAATTGCTGTGTTCGTTTTCCGGTAAGTTATTTCTGAGACCTTATAGGAAGTTTGTTTTTCCCTTATTAGTTATTAAATTCATTTTCTGTGTGTTTCAACAGAGCAGCAGAAGAGGACCAATCAACCAACAATGGCGTTTCTTTGGCGGGTTGTTTGGCTGCTGGCTTCTCTGAAGTATGTGAGGGGATAAAATGGCGCCTGGAATTAGCAGCAGATCGATAACGGATACCGAGGTCCATCTTTAATCAAGCTGAGGATCGCTTCAAGCTGCCTGAGGATCCGCCCGACTCAGCGAAGGTAGGTTAGGTCAAGCAACTGTTCAATTGCGGGTCCAGAAGACATCTCAGGGTAGGGTCTGATGCTGAGCTAACGCTGATGCTAGTGCTGTTGAAGGCTTAAGCTGTTCTGGCTTGATTTGATTCTCTGCTGAGAGTCCAAGAGTTGAGAAGGATTCTGCTGTTGAAAATCCTTCTGCCTTTGGGTTTTTTAGTGCTGTAGTTGCTGCGGTTGTTTGACATGGTCAAGTAAAGGTGTAACTAGCATGTTGGAATGTGAAGTTCATGGTTGAAAGCCAGTTGTGATGTGAAAGAAAGATGGCTGCCAAGAATTTGTCAAATACAGTTTAGAGGTTGTAGGAAGTGATTCAGTTTAGGCTTAAATATCACTATAATAAATCTTGATAACATAATTACATATTATTAGTGTTAACTGAATATATTATATACATTATGTGTATATATTATACACAACATATATGTTAACATGATGGATGACCTCAGTGACAAATGGCCTTTTATTCACAGCCAACTTCTGGTTCTGTCGGAGGTTTCTTCCTGTTAAAGGGAAGTTGTTCCTGTCAGCTGTTGCCACATGGATCCTCAATATCTTTTTGGATCGTGATGCCTGATTGTTCTTCTCCGACTTGCTGTAACTTGACATTTTTTAACCCATCCCACAGAGGGCCGCTGATGGATGACCTCAGTGACCTCACTGCTGGGGCTCAGCAGGTTTTCTGGAGAAAAGCCAAGAAGTGTTCCTGTTTGACGCATCCTGATCCTGCTCTCCATTTTGACCTGAAACGTTCCCTGCAGACCTCCTTAAGGAATGCTGCAGCTATTTTGCTGTTACCTAAGTGATATTTACTAGTGAGGTTTTGGCTGGTCATAATGATATGCCTCGTCAGTGTACGTCTCTAAAAGTAACCAGACTGGAACTTGTTCCCATTATTAACCCAAATGCTGATGGTAAATGCAGCTGACCATTTGATCAAAACTTTGAACAGTAGCTGCTAAGGAGGACAAAGATATCTAACATCCAGAATCACATAAAAAAAAACAACTGCAAACTGTTTAAGCTAAGCACCTGCAGTGCATGTATATATATGTTTGTATATCATGTCCACTTTCCTTTAATAGAATGTGATCGTTCACCAGTTTCAGGAGCTGCCGGCAGCCTATTTTAGACTCATCAGTGTTATCTGAGATACCAGCTTACTCTGGGCATCGTGATGTTTTTTACACCAGCTTGGAGCTGCGTGCTTCCAGCAGCCGGGGCCCTTCACACGCAGCAGCTCATTAATTTGTTTCATCTCAGGAACACCAGAGGTATGTCCCGACACGCTGGCCCCGACCATAATGAGGCCACTTTAACCCCGAGCTGAGGGAAGCAGACAGCCAGGCGAATATCTTCTGAAAGTAGGTCAGAATATGGAGAAGACGCCCAACAAATAAAACATGAATAAGCAATTCTGATAAAAGTTTGCATTCATTTTTAGAGAAACTGGGCTATGGGAAGGATTGGGGCCACTGAAAATTTTTTTATTATTTTGCCTTCTCAAAATTCTGACCTTCAACTCAGAATTTGATTTATTTCCTCTCAGAACTCTGACTTTTTTCTTTGAGTTTCAGCCTCAGACGGCTGACTTTATTCTCATACTTCTGACTTTTTTCCTCATAATTGAGAGAAAAAAAGTCTCACATTTCTTGGAAATTTCTGACTTTAATATCAGAATTCAGACTTTTTTTCTCTCAAAATTAACTACTTTTAGGAATTTAACTCAATTCTGACTTATCAGAATTCTGACTTTTTTCTAAATTGACTTTTTTCTTAGAAACTTAAACTAATAATTCTGACATTAATCTCTGAATTCTGACTTTTTCCCCCTCAAATGTAACAATTTTCAAAATTTTAAACTCAGACTTCAGACTTCGCAGAATTTTGACTTTTTTTTCCAAATTTACTTTTCTCTTAGAAATTTAAACTAATAATTTAAACCCAGAATTAAAGTCAGTTTTTCTTCAGTGGCACTAATGCTCTGCCATACAACCCCCCGTTTCCTTCACATCCTAAGCAGGCCGGCAGGATTCGGTCCGCTGTGATTGCGGCTCTAATGCCTTGCCTGACAGCTCTGAGCGGCCATCACGCCTCACCTAATTTGTCAG